CATTTCTTAGAGACCTGGAGGTCCTTTATCTAGGGCCTCAAAGAGACACCGCCCCCCACCCCCGCCCCGCCCCAAGTTGCCAGCCGAGTCAGTGACTGCCAGAAGTACTGCTGTGTGGACAGAGGGGCTTTGAAATTCTCTCTGCAGATGCATGCAGATGCATCTTCTGGGTCTGGTTTGGGGGTGGTTCTTGGGGAGGAGACACCCATTGGGAGTGGGCTCCTGGCTAACTCTCCAGCAGTGGTAAGTGCAGACTTTCCTCCCAGCCCCAGGCCTGCCTTGCACTGCTTTGCCTGTTCCAGGAGCTGGAGGAGGTCCCTGGATAGCTGAGTCCCTGAGCTAGTGCTGCCCATTGTCCACCTCCTCTCCTGCCTGCCATTGCTCAGGAAGTGGCCTAATTAGATCCTCAAGAGGCGTGTTTACCAGGCCTGGTTGCCATGGCCCTCAGGAACTGTGCGGCCGGTCCCCTTCTCTCCGTGCCTGGCTTAGGGCTGGGGTCAGTGCACTTGCAAGGCAGGACGGCTGATATCAGAGGGTGAAAGGTGCCACAGTGTGCGCGTGCATGTGTGCATATTTGTACGTACCTGTGTGTTCTGGTCACCCACAACTCTGGGCTGGGGGTTCAGCCTGGCGGATGAGGCAGCTGTGGGGAGTTGCCCTGGCCTCTTGGTGTTTGGGATTTCTTAGTCTGGCAGTGCCAGTGCACTGGTGTTTGGCACCAGGCTGGAGGGATGGGTGGTGTGTATACTTGTGGTGACTGGCTCAACCCCTGGGGGCCGCTGCTCACTGCTGGAAAGAGCTCTGGGGGAAGCCTCATTCGGTTCAGTGACACAGGCCAGTTTGAAGAGCCCTGGTTTGGAAACAGGCAGACCTGGGTTTGAGTCTTCCACCAACCAGCTCCAGCTGTGTGAACTTAGGCAAGCCCCTCTGCCTTTCTGGGCTCAGTTCCACCTCTGTGAAATGGTCGTAACACACCTTGGCCTCAACCATGGGGAGAGTGGATATGTACGTACAGGCAGCCGGCAGTGTCACTGCTGTTATGGGGGCAAAGAACTACTTTAGGGGGCCCTGCATTGGGGTTTCTATTTATTTTTATTTAAAAAAAATTTATTGTTTTATTTTTATAAACAATATTTGCTTCCCCCCACCCCCTCAGGTTGAGTCCCCATAGAATTTCCTTCCCCAAGGCGCCCGTGCACCATCACCATAGTCCCCTGTGCTCCTCCCTCCCTCTGATCCCTCTCCCTCCTCCTCCCCTGCAGGATGTCTCTGGTTTATAATTGTCTGGTTTTGCTTTGTTGTGTTTTGTACTGTTATATTTTTTTACACTGATGTCTTATTTGGTTCCCCTATATTCCTGTTATAAGTGAAACCATCCGATATTTTTCTTTTTCCTTCTGGCTTATTTCACTGAGCATAATTCCTTCTAGCTCCATCCACGTTGCTGTGAATGGCTTGAGTTTCTCTTTTTTGATTGCTGAGTAATATTCCATTGTGTATATATACTACATCTTCTTGATCCAGTCATCAATTTTCAGGCATTTGGGTTGTTTCCATGTTTTACCTATTGTAAATAGTGCTGCAATAAACATAGGGGTACAGGTGTTCTTTTGAATCACTGTTTTTGTGTCCTTTGGGTAGATCTGTAGTAGTGGAATTGCCGGGTCATATGGTAGCTCCATTTTTAGTAGATTGAGGAACCTCCAGACAGCTTTCCATAGTGGTTGGACCAGTTTGCACTTCCACCAGCAATGTAGGAGAGTTCCTTTTTCACCGCATCCTTGCCAACATTTGTTGCTTGTTTTTTTGATATGTGTCATTCTCACTGGTGTAAGGTGGTATCTCAGTGTGGTTTTTATTTGCATTTCCCTAATCATAAGGGATGTTGAACATTTTTTCATATGCCTGTTGGCCATTTGCATTTCCTCTTTGGAGAAATGTCTTTTAAGTTCTTCTGCCCATTTCTTGACTGGATTGTTTATTTTGTTTTTGTTGAGCCATGTGAGTTCTTTGTATATCTTTGTGATCAGTCCCTGCATTGAAGTTTCGAAAGGCAGGGACTTTGTTTTGTAAACCCTACAACACAGGCCCGGGCATATATTGTTAGTGCTCAGAAGTGCTCCTTGTGGAACACAGACTAGTTAATGTAGTTAGAAGGGCTGCCAGCCAGTGGGCTGCACCACTCAAACATTTTTTTAAAATATTTATTTATTCATACAAGAGCTGGGGTGCAGGCCCGAGGTGTGGGGGTGGGAGGTGAGAGGATTCACCAGAGAGAGTGGGGAGCAGAACAGGGAGATCTACTGAAATACACTGCTGAGGGGAGCAGTGGGCAAGACAGGAGAGAGGTCATTTGTGCTTTGTGGGTAGCTCCCTGGCTGGGGATCCAACTCATGCTGCAGTGGCTGCGGACAGCTTCATAGAGCTAAGTCTTAACCCCTTGCACCACCAGGGAGGCCCCACTGAAACATTTTTTTATTTGTTGCCAACATTTTAAACATGAGCATTTCGTATAGAAATCAACAAGATTTACAACTTGTGTAAGCACTTTGGGCACTTTGCGGGGTTTTTGTGTGTCTGTATTATGATTTTTTCTTTTAATTTATGTTTCTTTTCATTTATATTCTTTTCATTTATATGTTTTTACATCATTGTTTGTTTTTGAACAGTAGTTGATTTTTCCTCTCAGGTGTTGTCCCCATAAAATTACCACCACCAAGACACCTGTGAACCATCACCATGGACTTTTGTGCTCTTCCCTCCTGTTTTGATTTCTCTCCCTCCTGCTCCCCTGCAGAATGTCTCTGATTTATAGTTTGCCTGTTAGTTTTGTCCTTTTTTTCCTGATCCCTTGTATGGTTTCCCCATCTTCCTCCTATAAGGGAAACCATCCAATATTTTTCTTTTTACTTCTGACTTATTTCACTGAGTATGTTGCTGCAAATGGCATGAGTTTATCTTTTTTGATTGCTGAGTAGAATTCCATCATGTATATAATGCCCCAAATCAAATGGCTGGATCAAGAAGATGGCACTTTGGCAGCCTGGGGCCCAACCCACACAAGGTTGCCAGGTTAAGTCGGTGCCATCAGGTCTCTGGGTCTCTGGGCACCTGCTCTCCTATCTCTGGGCATCCTGGACTCACCTGGCTACCTGGAGGCTCCTTTGGACCACCTTTACCTGGAGGTTCTGTTGCCAGCTGCTTCTGCCCTTTGTGACATAGGTGTCTTGTACCCAAACCTTCCTATACCCTCTAGCCTCTGGCCCTGTCCTTGTTCCAGTCCCTGAGGCAAGCAGAGAGCATGATGGGGGCCTGGACTCTGGCTCTAGGGATGCTCCCTTAACCCAGGTTCCTGTTGGGAATATGGCAGCTGCCCCCATGTCCCAGATACTTTGTCTTGGGTTGCAAGTACTTTTGATAATTGTCTCTCTTTAGGGACTGGGAGCCCCAGAAAAAGAGAGAGCCAGCCTAGCACACAGGAGGTATAAAGGGCCTGATGTGTCAGGCGCAGGATTAACATGCCTTTTTGGAATAAATGAATGAGCAGATGAGTGAATAGTGCTGGGGAAAGAGAGAGCCCATCTGGACTGAGCCTGTCAAGCTTGGGGTCTACTCCCAACTCTGTCACAAAGGATCCACTATGTTCCCTTTCTGAAGTTCAGGTTCACTTTCAATGAAGCGGGGCTTGCACACTTCTTAAATTCTTGTTAATAAGAACTTTCAAAAAACAGGGTTTTATGTAAAGCTTAACATCACATGGGTGCAAGGCAGATGCTCCAGGCGAAGCAGGCTTGGGAGTCTGAGACATAAGACTTGCCAAAAAGCCCCAGTCAGGGCCTCCCTGGTGGCACAAGGATTAAAGTCTCAATGCTATCAAGCTATCGCCAGCCACTGTGGCATGAGTTTGATCCCCAGCCAGCAGACCTCACCTGTCTCGCCGGCTGTTCCCCTCAGCAGTGTATTTCAGTAGATCTAACTGATCTATCTGTTCTGCTCCCCACTCTGTCTCCTCTCACTCCCTGCACCTCTGGCCTGCACCCCAGTTCTTGTATGCATAAATAAATCTTCAAAAAATAAAAACCCCAGTGATTGGGTAAGTGTGGTCTCCACAGGAGCAGAAGAACATCTGCCAATAGACCCCACGTGCATGGTCACCTGACCCGTGACAAAGGCAGCTCACTGATGTCACATGAGGAAGAATGGCCATGTCACTAGCATTGCTGGGATACTTAGAAAGAGACGAACCTGAGGCTTGCCTCCCAGCCCACTCGGAACTGCACTCAGCTGGATCAGAGACTGCTTGCGAAAGCAAGACACTGATGCTTCCAAAGCAGCACAGTCAATGGAAGTTTCTCGGTGATAGAAATGCTCTATAGCTGTGCTGCCCAATTTATTTATTTATTTATTTGTTTATTTAAAGATTTATTTGTTTATTTTATACAAGAACCAGGGTACAGGCCAGATGTGTGGGAGGGTGAGAGGATTCACCAGAGACAGAGCGGGGAGCAGAACAGGCAGACCCACGAAATACAGTGCTGAGGGGAGCAGCAGGTGAGACAGGAGAGGTCTGCCGCGCCGTGTGGGACCCTCACTGGCCTGCTGGGATTGAACTGGCTCTGCAGAGGCTGCAGACAGCTTCACAGCGCTGTGCTCAACTGCCTGCGCCACCAGGCGAGGCCAGTGTGCTGCCCAATTTAGCCACTGAGTAGGCCATGTGATGGGTGAGAACTTGAAATGTGGCTGAGGGCCTGGGTCTTTAAATAGTCCCATGTGACTAGTGGCTACTGCATCTTTCAGGGAAACTCTGGCAAACACAGGGGGCCAACTTTATAACCTTGGGGGTGGGCGAAGCTAGAAAAAGAACTTAAAAGTCAGTTTTGGATTAAGGTTGATAAATCAGTTCCAGGAAATGTGACGCCTGGCCTGGCTCTTCCTGATGCCAGCTCTCCCCTGACTTGGTTTGGTGAGGTCAAATCTGGGTCTGCTTTGTGTTTCTGCAGAGCTGAGGACCCAGAGTGTCTGGTCAGCTGGATCTAGATGCAGAGGAAGAGGCCAGTGGCGTGGTGAGCAAGGTCTGGCAACTGGAGCAACGCAGGCCCCGTGCTGTCCATGGAACTGCAGGCCCAGCCGGCCTCTCCCCACCCCTGCCTACCAGGCTTGGAGAGGGCAGAGGCCTAGACCCACAGGGGAGGGTGTCAGCTTCCCAGGCCGTGGGGTCTCCTGAGTGGACTGCTGGGTGGATGTGCCAACACCAAAGGATGCCGGCCAAGGGGCGCTACTTCCTCAATGAAGGTGAGGAGGTCCCAGGCCATGATGTACTGTATGAGAAGTACCGCCTCACCAGCCAGCATGGGCCGCTGTTGCTCACACTCCTTTTGGTGGCCATCACTGCCTGCATTGGCCTCGTCACCATCGCCTTCACCGATGGGGTGAGTGAGGACAGCCCATGGGCAGTGGGGCTTCTCTGGGGTTTGCATTTTAGCTTTGATGCTTTGTTCTGTGAGACCTTGGGCAAACCTTTATCTTCTGTAAGCCTGTAAAGTGCTATGTAGGGCATATTTAGGCTGATGAAAGACAAGTTTTTAATTTTAATTTAATTTTAAAGTCTGAGGTGGCTTTAGATATTATATTAATTGGGCCAAAGAAGTTACCTTAACTTTTTTCCACAGTGAATTTACATTTATTGAAGACCCAGGTCAGAGATGGCCTGTGCATCACAGTTCTCACTTTGATGCCATGGCAGACATCACAAGTCAATCCCAGATCTCCATCTCATGGCTATGGTCTCAGAATCCTTAACACAACTTTGGAGACAGACATCGCTAATAAGTATCTCTGACCTAGGCCTTGCCCTGCTATAGCCACTTCCTGTGTGGCTACTGAGTACTTGAAATGTGACTAGTATGACTTGAGGAGCTTAAGTCTTAATTATGTTTTAATTAATGTAAATTTAATTTTGAATAGCCAGGGGCTATTCAGTGAAGCCAGGTGCTGTTCCAACTTTCCTGTACCCTCACGATCACACCTCTGCACCTCTGCTCCAGCTCTTCCCATCTGGGACACGTTTGCCCACCACTTCTTTATTCCTTAAGAGTCAGGAGCAGTGGCTTCTCCTCCAGAAGACTCTCCAAGGCTTTGCTCTTGTAGTCTTATACCCCAGTGCTGGTCTTCTTGGGCCTCTCAGGGACACCTGATGGTGAGGGAGTGGGGGTGACAGCATCACAGGACTCTACTGGAAAGGATGCTTTGGGCTTCAGAGGCACATGAGAAAAAGCAGCTCAGGGCAGGTGACCAGGCAAACCTAGCAGGCTTTCTGGAGGAGGTGGTGCCCCACTGGGGAAAGCAATGGCTCTTCTGTGTATGTTTGCCCTTCTCAGGGATTCCCCAGACACCACCCTATCCTGGTGACGGCGTTCTTGATACTTGCTGTGTTTGCGGTGCTCTACGTACTGGTGTATTTTGAGTACCTTGTGCAGCGGTGGCTCAGGGTCTTCGCACTACTCACCTGGGCCTGCCTTATGACACTAGGCTATGTGCTGGTGTACGACTCAAGGATAAACGAAGACTGTGTACAATCATTGCAGGTAACAGGGCGGGGGACCCTGGTGTTCCTGGGGACTGAATGCTGCCAGTCAACTCTGTGCCAGGCACTCCTGCCCTCTCTGGGTATCAGGTCCCATCTAGAGAATGGGCCTGCATTTGCTGTGCTGGGCATGGGCCCATCCTGCTCCCATGGTTCTGTAACTTAAGAGGGGCCCTCAGCTGGTCCTGTAATCTGGGTTTTCTGCATTAGTGGGGGGTATGGGGAGGAAGAAGTGGGTGTCCACTAGGATGTCTGGCGGTGGTGTTTCTTAGTGGCCCCCCTTTTTTTTTTTTAAAGATATATTTATTTATTTATGCAAGCACTGGATACAGGCCAGATGCGCGGGAGGGTGAGAGGATTCACCAGAGACAGAGTGGGGAACAGAACAGGCAGACTGATGAAATACACTGCTGAGGGGAGCAGTGGGCGCGACAGGAGAGGTCTGCGTGCCATGTGGGACCCTCGCCTGCCAGCCAGGATCGAACCAGTGCTGCAGAGGCTGAAGACTGCTTCACAGCACAGAGCTCAACCACCTGCACCACCAGGGGAGGCCCAATGGTGGCCCCTTTTTGATAGGAAATGATACATCACCAACTCAGAGAAGCAAAAAGACATCAATTGTCTCATGTGCCAGGAAAATTGAGGGACCAGCCCTGTGGTTCCAGTAGGAAGGCCAGGTCCTGCTTTCTCTCTCCTCTGTGCTTCTCTGTTTCATTCCCAGGCAGGCCATCTCTGGTTGGGCAGAGGTGGGCAGAGATGGCCACAGTGGCTCAGGTTGCCCTCCCACCAGCTTACCCTCCCAACTGGGAAAGCCCTTTCTCCACCAGCTTGAGTCACACAGGTCCGGCCTGCATCATGATCCCAATCACCGTGACCAGGGGCAGCATCCTGATCTCCTCTGATCTCCTGGGTTGGGGTCAGGGGGATTAGTGAGATCCATGCAGACTGGAAGCTAAAGGAGGCAGTTCCCGAAGGGGCATATATGGGGCAGGTGAAGATGGCAGCTCAGGTTCTAAGGGAATGCAGGGAGGGCTCAATGCTGGAGGCGGCAGGTGAGCAGCCCTGCCCAGCCTTCCAATAGTTACCACTCCTGCATGGAGAGGGCCTGGTTTGGGTGCCAGGAGGGAGCTCACCAGATCTGTGCAGGCCACTCATGGGGAGGCTTGGCCTTACCCCCAGATATGAATCAGCACATAGGAAATGATGAATGGTGCTGCGTGGGTCTTGAACACATTTTGATCTTTTCTTGTTCTGTTGCCTCACCATGTGGGGGTGGGAGCAAGGGCGTGATCTGAGGACAGCCTTGGGTGGACTGGACTGGCTGCCAAGGGGCTCAGGATTCGAATACTGGGGCTGTTCCTGAAAGACAAGAGGCTTCAGGGCCCCAAAATCAGCTCAGCCTTGGGCTGTGTCTGAGAGCAGGGACAGTGTGGCCATTTTGATAGGAAACGATACATCGCCAACTCAAAGCCTCATGACCCCCTCCTCACTCAGGTGCCCTTTTTCCTGTTCATCATCTTCGTGGTGTACACACTGCTGCCTTTCAGCATGTGGGGAGCCGTTGCTGTGGGGGTGGTCTCCAGCGTCTCCTACCTCCTGGTGGCCGTTGTGGCATTGAATGCCTTCACCATGACGCAGGTGAGGGGCACGTGGGTTCTGGGGGTGGGATGGCTAAGACTTCTAACTGGGTGAATTGGTTCTGGAGGCCTCAGCCATGTTTGCAGACAGATGGCTTTGTGGCCAGGCCCTCTGCAAGTCCGTTCCAGAAGCTGTCCCCCTAGGCACGAACCAGCAAAGGCCTACTGCACCCTAGAGGCTCCGCCCTTCACTCCAGTCCTCACTTAGGTCCTTCTTCCCAGGTCCAGTGCACTGTTGTAGGTGAGGTTCTGTGCTTGATGCTCCCCCCAGAGCCCTATCCTGCAGGGTGGTGTCTTTGCATTGAGTGAGCGAAACTAATTCATAATAATTTTGAGACACGTTTCCCCCCTGACTGGGCTGGGTTTCTGCCCTAGGAGGTGGAGGCTAGATCTCTGGGCAGCCATCAGATGTGGAATCTTTCTGTGACTATCCTTGGTGTCCCTCTCTGGCTCTGAGCTCTATGGGATGAGGTGCTCCTGCCTCCCCAGAAATGACTGTCTCCCTGGTCACTGGGGCATGAGCCCTTTGCACTGGAAGTACCTGGTGGATGCCCACACACCTGGATCCTGGTCCTGTAGTCACAGCTATTCTCTAGGAGAACAGTGCCTGTATTGGCTTCCGTTTCCCCACCTGTCCCAGGAGGAGGGCCAGCATGAGTGGGGATGGGGAAGGTGTAGAGCTTGTTATCACCAGCCCACCAAGGGGCTGAAGGCCCCACCCACTGCTGAGCCTGCCCTCGGCCACCCCCAGATGCTGGCCTGCACTGTCATCTTCCTGTGCGGGAACCTCACGGGCGCCTTTCACAAGCACCAGATGCATGATGCCTCCCGGGACCTCTTCATCTACACTGTGAAGTGCATCCAGATCAGACGTAAGCTGCGCATCGAGAAGCGCCAGCAGGTAGGGACTTTGCCTCCCAGAGCCACAGCCTGGTCCCTGCCTCGCTGGGCACCCACACTGGCCTCACCCCAGGGGGCTTCTGGGACATGATGGGGGGTACCTGGCTGGGGGCGGCAGAGCTCCACCAGCTGAGAAGGGAAGTACTGTGGCCAGAGCAGGCAGGAGGGCAGAGAGCATAGCAGCCAGTGGGCGGTGCCTGGGACTGACGTTGCCCTGCCCATCCCTGCGGTGCCCCCATTGCTGTGCCCATGTGTGTGCAGGAGAACCTGCTACTGTCAGTGCTGCCGGCCCACATCTCCATGGGCATGAAGCTGACCATCATTGAGCGGCTCAAGGAGGGTGGGGACCGCCGCTACATGCCGGACAACAACTTCCACAGCCTCTACGTCAAACGGCACCAGAATGTCAGGTGGGCAGGACTGGGCCTGTGCGGGACACCATTTTCCAGCCCACAGAGATTGGGAAGCAGTAAATGTAGCAGTATCCCCATTTAGTCCCCCAGGGGTGGGATCAGATTGGTTTGGTGTTTGGGGAGGTCCCACAAGCCCCTAAAATTGTAAAGCTCTGAAAACATGACTGTTGGGAAGAGAGGAATCTTCAGGGATTCAAGCTCCCCAAAAAGGGCTGAAGCCCTCGCCCCAGGGCTCTGCACTGGCAAGTGTCCCCATCCCTCATTCCTGTCTTTGGCTGTGTGAGGGCTACACACAGTCTTGATTGAATATACCCCCCCCCCACTGTGGGGAGCAAGGGTGTTGGCGTGGAAGCCCGGTGTTCTGCCTGGAGCCTCAGCTCTGCCACTCTGGGCCGTGGATGGTCCTGCACACGCAGACGCTGGAGCTGGAGATCTGGTGCAAACCGCAGCTGTGGCTTACCCAGCAGGCTTAGCCTCCCTGACCTCATGCAGCTCATCTGTGAATGGGAGTCCAGCGGGGGGCGGGGTTGCCGAGCTATCGGGTGTGGAGCTGCGCTTGAGGCGTGGAATACTGTCTTAGCAGGGAGTTTAGCTCTGCTCAGATGGAAAGCCAGGTATAGACAAGGAGACAGAAGTTCTGGAAACCTGCGAGAGTGATAGGGTCTGGGGACAGGGCTCTCAGAGCCTCGTGGATTCTTGGCTCTTGCTCCAGCACCCTTTCATGGAGAAGCCTCTGGAACTTTGTCTTTATGGATGAGATCTTCTCTCCCATTCCTGTGGAGGCTGAGGGGAGCAGGCTGATTGGGGTGCAGGGGCTATGGGCTGTCCCCACGCTCCTGCAGCCGTGTCTTCCAGGGCCCTGGCTCTGACCCTCCTGCTGCCCACCCTCCCTAGCATCCTATACGCTGATATTGTGGGCTTCACGAGACTGGCCAGTGACTGCTCCCCCAAAGAGCTGGTGGTGGTGCTGAATGAGCTCTTCGGCAAGTTTGACCAGATCGCCAAGGTGAGACATCGGCCTGTGCTGCCCCTCCCTCTGCTGATGGTAAAACCAGGGCTCTCCCAAGGGCATCCAAGGTGCAGCCTGTGCCCAGTGCTGTGCAGAGGTGGGGAGGGGAGGCCTTGGCTGAATTTTAACATGTGGTCAGCAAATGTTTCTGAGCACCCCATGGAAGGAGTGGAGGTTAAGTGATTGGCAAGGCAGCCAGAATCCTGCTCCCCAGAGGATGAGGCCAGTGGGGCCACTGATAGCACACACTGATAGTGCACACTTGCCTGGGGGCTCAGGCAAGATGCCTAGAGGAGGAGACGGCTGCATCCTCACGAGACAGGTGGACTGTGGGATGCCAGGCCTCACCCAGAGCCTGCCTTGACAAGATCCCAGGTGACTTGTGTGTTCACTGAAGTTTGATGAAGCTAGCAAGAGATGCAAAAAGAAAGGAAACAGTATTCCAGGCGGAGGGAATAGCATGTGCAAAGGCCTGGAGGAGGAAGAAAACTCCATGGAATATGCCCATGGGATGAATGTGGCTCAGTGTGAGGGGGACAGTGTGAGGGAGGGCCATGTGACAGTGTCAGAAGTGCAAGGACTCGAGAGCTGAGGTGGAGTGGGATTTGACCCAAGGACCCTGGGGAGCATGGCAGGTGCCAGGCATGGAGGGGCATTGGGCAAGTAGGGTTTCCAGGGTGTAACTGGGTGGAGAGAGCCCAGGGTGTGTCTGGGGTGTGTGTGTCATGAGGGGGAGGAAAAAAGGACTTTAGTTACTCATTAGTTTACCAGCTCGTCCTTAGACCTGCTGAGGGGCAGCCCTCAACTTACACGAGACCTCTGGCCTGCTCTCAAGTTGCTTCCAACCTACCTGCTCTGTGCTTTGAAGTGAGGTGCAGGGGGCAGGGGAGCCCGGATAACACCCAGTCCAGCCTCAGGTAGTCGAGACAAGCTTCCTGGAAGTGGCGGCCAGTCAGTAGAGACCCAGGTGTAAGAGTGAAAACAATGGCTCACTCTCCTGGTGCATATTTGCATCATATGCAGCCACACCCATGTGCGTTTTTAAGAGCCTTCCAGGTGACGTCATGGATGGAGCATCAATGATCTAGAATGTGATGGCCCCGCTCTAGAAGATGTTTTCTTAGTCAGGGCCGCTTGAGCCCAGGATGAGCTTCCTGTCACAGGGGATGACCAAGCTAGAGTAGGACACCACTCACTGGCGAGGGGTGCTCAGGAGAATGTTCCAGCCTCGGTATTGTGGACAGGGTGACTCCGAGATCCTAGTCTGGAGCCCCTCCTCCATGACTTCTCCCGAACCAGTGTGGGAGTCCTTGGAGGCTGGGCCATATGAGGGACGGGGTGTCTGGGTCTGGGGCACAGCTGACCTTCCCCGCCACAAAGCCCTTGGGCGAGGACCTGCCTGCTTGAACACAGCCCTCCCAGTGCGGAAGGCCAGGAGGTGCACAGAGGACACAGAGCAGACACAGGGTGGGACTGCTGCAGCCTTTTTTCCTATCAACATCAGATTTCAGAATGGGGGCTCCTCCTGAGAGCCTGGCTGCTCTGAGGATGCCACACTGCTGGTCTCTGACTCCTACCCCAGCATCCTCATGTGACTTCCCCACTGTAAGCGTCAGTGACACAGCAGGCCTATCAGTGTGGGGAGGAGCAGCTTGAGGAAGCTGTGGCCTCCAGGGTCCAGAGGGCAACCCTGCTCCTGGCCAGAGAAGAGATTAGGGTGGCCAGGCAAGACCCAGCAGGACACGGCCTGCACACACTCCCGTGGGCTCACCGAAGAGGTTGTGCAAGGGAACTGCTTGCCAAGGCACGGCGTGGGGCCCTGCCTGGTCATTGAAGCTGGTGGCCCAGACTTGGTGGCTATGGAATGGAGCAGAAACCTGCTTCTGGGAGGTGGCCAGACCCTGGGGACCCAGCAGGAGGGAGCTAGGGTGCCTGTACTCTAGCCTCCTGCCTCCTCCCTGCCGCAACTGGAAGCCAGAAGGCAAGGCTGCTGCTGAGGTCACCGTGGCAGGTGGGGTGGGGGTGAAACAAGAGCCTGGCTGCCTTCATAGTCCCTATAAAACCCTACCCCGAGGCCTTGGTTTGTGGGGACAGGGTACCTTTGCCCAGGGTTTTTGGAGGGTCTAGTGGCTACAGCATAACCTCAGATGGAATCTCAAACATTCAGCCTGGGCCATCCCCTCTGTGAACGCTTTTCCTGTGTGACCCCAGCCTGTCTCCCCATCCCATCTCTTTTCTCTGCTCTTCCCCCCACTCCTCAAACCCTGCTGGGCTTGCATCCCTAGCAGCATAGCCACCTCTCAGCCCCTGCTGACCACGGCTCAGGGCACCTGCAGCCTCTGTGCTCAGCTCCCCTACTCGCTTCAGCCACCCGACTGCTTCACTGTGTCTCAGCTTTCTAGCCTCAAGACCTTTGCTCGCTCCCTTCTACCTGGAATGTTCTTCCCCCGGATACTGGCCTGGCTGGCTCCCTCAGTTCCGTTGCATCCTTTCTCAGAGGTTGCCCCCTCTCCTCTCCCTTACCTCATTTTCCTCCTCAGCTCTTGTCACCTTCTATAGATTTTATTTATCTTGTTTAGTGCCTAACTCTGCTGCCTGGGTGTGAGCTCCATGAGTGGGTGTCCTTGCTTTCATCATGATGCTTGCTTGGGGGTTCTTCCTGAAGAGTCTCCTGCGTCCCCTCTCCTTTGGCCGGCCGAGAGGCAGCTCCTGGTACCCCAGGAGGAAGCCGCTGGCCAGCAAAGAGCCTGCCTCACCCTGGAGGTGTGGGCAATGGCTGGTCCCTGGCCCTCCACTGACTAGGCCTCTCCCTTGCCCTGCAGGCCAATGAGTGCATGAGGATCAAGATCCTGGGTGACTGCTACTACTGCGTGTCAGGCCTGCCGGTGTCCTTGCCCACCCACGCCCGGAACTGTGTGAAGATGGGGCTGGACATATGTGAGGCTATTAAGTAGGTACCACCACAGGCCGGGGCTGCCCCACTGGGGACCCCTCCTGCTTCCCAATGCATTGTCCCCATTTTGCAGATGGGGCTCTGGGGTGAAGGTGGCTTGCCTGGATCACTCAGAGTCTCGGAAACTCAGAGCAGTGGGCTTGGCATCGGGGTCACTGGACTCTGTTCCTTCAGGGTTGAGTCTTGGCAGCAGCAATGGGAAGGTTTCAGGGCAGGTAGCAGAGGAAGCTCACTCATTTGCAGTTTGGCTCCAGCAGTTTGGCTCACTCATTTGCAGCGGGCTCTGTCTGCTTCCTGGTCCCCCTGTGAAGGCCCTGAATCAGGGTACTGCCCCTCAGAGTTGCAGGGAGAAGCTTAGACTCCTAGACCCCTTCCCATCAACATCTAGTCCCCTGCAACTCCTCTGGGTGGTCCAGCAGGTGGAGGAAGGCCAGGTGGGCTTGGCCAGACAGACCTGTGTGGAGGGCAGAGCAGGTGTGGCTGCTGCCTGAAGGTGCAGGTTCTGGGTGGAAGCCAAGCTGCCGCTTGTCTTCTCCTGTAACCTCAGCAGAGGGGGCCTGTCCTGCTGGCACAACACTGGCTGGGAGTCAGTCCTGGTCCTGCCCGGCTCTGCATCAAGGTCTGTGGGACCTGGACGGTCTCCCTGACCCCTGCATTCAGTTCTTCCCCATTGACATGTAGAGAGATTGGGGTTCCTCCTCTATGGCCTGTGGAGGTTGGGGTTCCTCCTCTATGACCTGTGGAGGTTGGGGCTCCTCCCCTGTGACGTGTAGAGGTTGGGGCTCCTCCCCTGTGATGTGTGGAGATTGGGGCTCCTCCCCTGTGATATGTAGCATTCGGGGCTCCTCCCCTGTAATGTGGGGAGGTTGGGGCTCTTCCCCTGTGATGTGTGGAGGCTGGGGCTCCTCCCCTGTGATGTGTGAAGTTTGGGGCTCTCCCTGTGACATGAAAAGGTCTGGCAGAACCCCTTCTACTCCCTTGACTTTGACTCCGTCTTTAGACTGTTGGTGGGCATGTGGCGCTAGCTGCTCCCCAAACCCTGTCAACTTGTCAAAGGGACCCAGACACTTTACTCATGTTTGTGGGTACCATGTGGAGCTCTAAATTGAGGTTCCTGTTTCTTGGAGGTGGTGGGGGGTAGGAAGCCCCAAAGGCTGACCCCATGTTCTTCATCTCTGCTGTTTGGGTTGGTGTCTGGGCCGCTCTGCAGCCCATGGCAGCCTTTTCAAACCTCACCAGGACTGCCAAGGAGGGCAGACACCCAGTGATAGCACTTTAGGTCCAACAGTGTGAGCTGTGGCGACAGTGACAGCTGGCAGTCCTCCCTCATCTACCCAGTCTTTGAACTTGGAGGGGAGGGACACATCCTTTGCATTTCCCCACAGACGGGTGCTCCCTGCCTTTCCGAGCATTCTCTCCTGTGGGCTGGGCCCGCCCTGTTCCCCAGCACACACTTCCCAGACCTTGCTGTGTCCCCACCCTGTGCCACACCCTACCTGGGACCTTGAACCTGTCCTAGGGTGGAGGGCCCAGCAGCCTGGCTGGGTGACCAGGCCGTGCTGCCCCAGGCAGGTGCGGGAGGCGACGGGTGTGGACATCAGCATGCGTGTGGGCATACACTCGGGGAACGTGCTGTGCGGCGTCATCGGGCTGCGCAAGTGGCAGTACGACGTCTGGTCCCACGATGTGTCCCTGGCCAATAGGATGGAGGCGGCTGGAGTCCCTGGGTGAGGATCAGCTGGACAGTTGTGGGGTCAGAAGCTGGGGTGCTCTTGGGGATGGTCAGGGTGGGCTCCGGGAATGGAATCAGTGCCTTTGCAAGAGGCAGGGTGGGGGACTGGGCTCTGGCCTGCTGAGCACCCTGGCGGGGGACCAGCCCTCCTGGGCCCGGCTGCTCTGTCTGACTTGGGCTTCCCCAGCCGGGTACATATCACAGAGGCGACACTGAACCACCTGGACAAGGCATATGAGGTGGAGGACGGGCACGGGCAGCAGCGAGACCCCTACCTGAAAGAGATGAACATCAGCACCTACCTGGTCATCGACCCCCGGGTATGAGGGCTCACATGCAGCGGGTGGGGATTCGGGGGGCTCTGGCACAGCTGGGGAGCAGGGTCTGCACCCTAAGGAAAGACCCCCATGAAGGGAGTGTTTTTCTTTGAGGCTGTGGAAAGGTGGGGAGGAACAGGCTGGGCTTTAGGGGTAAGCTCCCCGCCACGGGGTATGCTCTAGGCCTCAGTGTTTATTTTTAAAGATTTATTTATTTATTTATTTATTTATGCATACAAGAACTGGGGTACAGGCCAGAGGTGTGGGGGATTAGAGGATTCACCAGAGACAGAGCGGGGAGCAGAACCGGCAGATCTACTGAAATACATTGCTGAGGGGAGCAGCGAGAGAGTCAGGAGAGGTCTGCTGTGCCATGTGGGCAGCTCCCTGGCCGGGGATCGAACTCATGCTGCAGAGGCTGTGGATTGCTTCCTAGTGCTGTGCTTAACCCCTTGCACCACCAGGGAGGCCCCTCACTGTCTTTTCTGTGAAACAGGAATGATCTGTGAGGTCATTCAGCGCCCACATTTTCAAAAGATATTTTTAAAATGTGCGTTGGATGAGATGCTGGAAAATAGGGGCTGGCCAGGGAGCCACCGGGCAGTAGCCTCTGTGTGTCCTGGGCTCTGGGCCCTTGGTGTCCGCCTGGCGGGAAGGCTCCACCTTCCCCAGGGCCCTGTTTTCTTTAGGACCCTGTGGTGGGGAAGGTTGCCCCAAGCTGGTGATCCCAGTCCTGTACCCCCAGCCTACCTCTCTCAGGCTGGGGCCATTCTTTTCTGCCTGCGGGAGGCCAGCTTGTCTGGCCGCCTTGGGTGAATCATCCTTGGGACTCACTCAGGAATGTCGGCTACGGCAGGCCCTCTCCAGCTCTCACTCTAGCTTTGGCCAGGGCTGGCCCAGCTGCTTGTTTCCAGGGAGCCTGCCCGGACCCTCATATCCTATCCTGCAGCTGCTCCCCAGGGTCCACCCAGCGCAAATGAGTGCCATGGGTGCTGAGCTGGCATCTGGGGAAACCCCTCCTGGGGACTTCCAGGCTGCCCCCACTTCACCCTCCTGGAATACAACCCACCCCTGACCCTGAACCTGCTGCTTTGGCCCTGCTTCCCTGATCCCTGCCTTCCTCTGAGGCCCTGGACCGCAGTCCCAGTGCCCCCTGACTCCTGCTGTTAGGCTTTCCCACCCAGACCCCCTGTCATTCCCTCTGAGGCTCCTTCCTCTTCCCTCTGTCCCAGATGCTCCTGTATATGTTTTTTATTATCAGTGCGAGTTTCAAAGACAACTTGGGGTGAGGGTTCTAGTGACTGCAATGAGCAGGGGCTTGGGTAGCTTCTGAGGGAGTAGGGCCCTTGGCCCGAAGGCAGCAGCAGGCAGGGCTCTGAAACCCTCCTCCTGGGCTGCCAGGGTCACCATGCGTGGCGGGACACCTCTTGGGTGAACACAGTGACTTTTCAGTATGTGTCTCCCACTAGATTGAAGGGGAATCCTTTATTTTATCTGAAAATTCTGCCTCCCTGGCTCCTCCCAGCTTTGTTTAATTTTATTCATTCACAAAGCTGAGAATTCAAAGAGCCTGAAGGCATGCTGTAGCAAGTTTTCCTGTCTCAGTCTCGGGGCCAGCCACAGGTCTCGCTAAAGGGCTAAAGGGGGCAGCCTGTAGAGCCCCTTGCATAGAGCGGTCTGTGTGCATGTGAGCACCTGGAAGGAGTCTCATCTCTGCTTCTGGCCCAGCCGACAGTAGCCATGGCTGCACGTTCCCCTCTGCCTTCACCTGGGGCCTTTCCCTTGGGTGCGGAGGGAGGAGCTCTGCTCCTCCCCCTCACCCCATGGAGGCCCCTTCCCTGCTGGCTTTCATAGACTCTCACTCAGGCTCTTAGGTGTGAGGACAGTGTCTGGCGGTGGTTGTGGGGGGAAGGTCCTAACCCACACTGGTTCACACATCTGCCTTAGAATGGGTGTGCTTTTGCTCAGAACACGTGGACCTTTAGTGCATGTTTATTTCTCAGGGAGTCTGGGTGTCTGGCTTCCCTGTACTAAGAGAGAAGTGCCAGCGACCTTGAACTTGAATGACTGTAGGCAGGGCTGCTCTGGTGGCAGGCAGACAGGGAGATGTAACCCCTCAAAGATGTATTTATTTATGCATACAAGAACTGGGGTACAGGCCAGAGGTGCAGGGGGTGAGAGGACTCACCCGAGACAGAGACAGAGTGAGGAACAGAACAAGCAGATCGACTGAAATACACTGCTGAGGGGAGCAGCAGGTGAGACAGGAGAGGTCTGCTGCGTCATGTGGGCAGCTCCCTGGCCAGGGATTGAACTCGTGCTGCAGAGGCTGTTGATAGCTTCATAGGTTGCATCTTAATTCCTTGCGCCACCTTGGAGGCCCTAAAAATGTTTCTATTCCAAGGGGAAGCTAGATGTTTCCAGAAAAGTTGCTGCTGTGGCTTAAGGAGTATTGATGCTGGTCTAGGTGGGTGTTTGTGGGGACCTGCAGAGATGGGGACAACTGAAGGAATGTGAGAGGGTAGGGGGCACTCAGCAGGTCCCCAGATGGCCCACACCTGTCTCCCTTGACCTTGGGACTCTTTCTTTTCCCTCCCCGCTTCTAGTCCAAGCTGGGAAAGGTCACAGGAATGTTGTTCTGTGACTTGGGGGAGGTCTGTGACTCTAGTGGCAGGTGGGGTACTCAGGTCTGTCCCCCTTATTCAGGGCTTAGCCCCTGTGTCCCCAGCTTGACCATAGCAGGCATGCAACAGGCATGGGCCCATGCTGTGGTTTGAAAGCACACGAGTGGACTTCCTGGAATACAGCCCTGGGGGTGGGGCCAACTCTCATCTCTTCTAGCTGCTCCCCCACAGGAAGGACATGTGTTGGCCACATGTGGGTGGGCAGGGCAGGATGCCTGTGTCTTCCCCGGATACCGTCTCCCCAGGGTGCGTTGACACTCTGGGCCCATGGGCCTTGAGGCTCCAAGGACTAGCCTGGTTCCTCCGAGTCAGGGGCAAGTGGGGCTTAGGACCTAACCTGCTGGGCTCACTCCTAGGAAGACCAAGTGTCTGAGGGCTGTGTGCAATTGTGTGACCTCCAGTGTCCTCCCTGCCAGGGCAGGGGTAGGGCTCTGAGCTGGTGAGGCGGGGAGAGGGCCTCCCTTACACACGAGTTCCCTGAGCTTTAGCCAATCCCCAAAGGGATTGTAGATTCAATAGCCTTTTTGCCAAGTGGGCCAGTGCGCCAGGCAATGGCATTGCATTTCAGGTGGAGCAGGATGGGGGTGGTGGGTTGAGAGAGGAGGGGGTAGGACAGGCTGTGTCTGTCTGCCCACAGAGCCAGCAGCCACCCCCGCCTAGCCAACACCTCCATAAGCCCAAGGGGGACACAGCTCTGAAGATGAGGGCCTCTGTGCGCATGACCCGCTACCTCGAGTCCTGGGGGGCAGCGAGGCCCTTTGCACACCTCAACCATCGCGAGAGTATGAGCAGCAACGAGACCCCTGTCCCTAGAAGGCGGAGGCCTAAGGTAGGTTCCCCTCCTTCCCCAGGGCTGGGGAACGGGGGCTCAGGAAAGGGCAGGTGAGCATGTGCTAAGGTGTCCTCCCACGGGGCCTTACTTTCTCCATCTGTAAGGTGGATCCCATCTCTGCAGGCCTCCCTCCTGGGCCCTCGGAGGAGTGAAGGCATTTGGAGAATTCTCCAGGGTGCCCATGAATGTCCCTGTCCTCGTTTCCCAGACCAAGTATGGCTTTAGATCTGGATCCTATAGCCTGGACAGTTCCCAGCATCATCCCCATCTCGCTGAGGGTGCCAGAGCTTAGCCCCAGTTATGTGATTAGACTTCATGATTCTCTCCCCTTCTCCCTCCAGGCCATTCCCCTGCGGCGCCACCGGAACCCTGACAGGTAGTACTTTGTCTCCTCCCTGTCAAGCTGTGGCTTACCTTCTGATAAGTCCTGCCCTGGTCACCTCCTTCAGGCAGGCTGCCCTGACCAGTCTCTGTCCAGGAGGGCCCAGCTCTTTCCACATGTGGGGTGAAAGCATTTCTAGGAACCAGCACTTCTCAAAGATGGAGCACTGTGCACCCACCCTCAACTGCAGTCGTGTCTGCCCTCTGCTTTTCGCCGGGCTGCTGGGTGATGCTGGACCCTCTCTGGACCTCAGTGGGACCCACTTGTCCCTCTACATCCTGCATGAGGCACCCAGAACCCCACGGGGGGTGGGGGGACAATTTTATCTTGTCCATACTCCTCCTGCCTCTTGGCTGAGGCTTTTGTGGGTGTCTGATTCCAGAAGTGCATCCCCCAAAGGGCGGTTGGAAGATGACTCCTATGATGACGAAATGCTGTCAGCAATTGAGGGGCTCAGCTCCACACGGTAAGGCTTCAGTACCCCTGCTTGACCCTGGTCCCCAGCTGTTGCAATGTCCTGCATCTCTCCTCCCGCTCCATGGTGCTGCCCCCGCATGTGGGGCTGGCCTGCCCCCTCCCATCCCTGGGGCCCTCCTCTTCTCTCTCCAAAGGTGCCACTCAGTTCCCTGCTGCCCCAGGCTCCCCCTCTCACTGCCTGCTCCTGCCTCTCCACAGACCCTGCTGCTCCAAATCTGATGACTTCTACAGCATCGGGTCCTTCTTCCGGGAGAAGGACTTTGAGCGAGAGGTGAGGGACCTGTTGGTGGTGAGGGGACGGTGTCACCGGGAACTCAAGGATGTGTTGTTTTAGGGGAATTGGTTTGGGCTAGGGTAGGACCCACATGGGTTCAGAGCAAGTGAACTACAGGTGGGGCACTGGTAAACCTCACTCCTCACAGTCTGTCATCCCCAGTACCGCCTGGCGCCCATCCCCCGGGTCCGCAACTACTTTGCCTGCGCCAGCCTCATCTTTGTCTGCATCCTACTTGTCCACGTCCTGCTGATGCCCAGGTCAGTCAGGGGGCAGGGCGTCAAACCCTCTGGGGTCAGGCTGGGAGGGGCAGTGACTTACCAGGACCACTGGGAAGGGCAGGCTGTGTGAGTTCTAGAACTTTAGGCCTCTGGGTCCCAGCAAGTGGGCTGGGGCTCATGTTCCCCACACCTGGAGTTACCAGCACTTAATTTTTTGTTCTAATTGAATGTGCTTGCTCTCTTGAGCCTCAAGCCTCCCCACTCCCACATGCCTCTCACCTTCAGAGTTGCCTGTTCTCTGTGTGGCCCTGTAGATGGTTCAGTTTGCAACCTTTGCCTTAGTGTTTGGAGTCCTAGCAGGGCAGGCTCCTAAAGCGGTAGCTGCCATCGTCTCCACCTGAGAGGTGCGAAATCGAGGTGCAGAGGAGGTAATGAATACCTTGTCCAGGACACGTGGCCAGGAAATCAGGAACCTCTCAAGAGTCCTGCTTCTGTTGGTGGGGGGCAGGGAGGGAGTAAGTTCAGGTGGTTTGTGGAAGGGGGCTAGGCAGTGGATCCACTAGCATTGTTTTAAGTTGTGTTCAAGAAACATTTGTAAAAAAAAAAAAAAGAAAGAAAGAAACATTTGTACATAGTACCTACATGCTTAACCCAAGCGAGTGGCTATAGGGGACTTGAAGAGGACCTTAGTCATTGCGTTGTGGCCAGGGGTCATAGAGGGGGTATGATTTTCAAAGATCCATTTTGCTGAGTATAGAATACAGGCCATAGGGGAGGGAGCAGAAAGTGACCATGAGCTTGAGAATTGGGGTGCTAGGAAGGTAGGGGAGCATGCCTGTGACTTGCCCCTCACAGGTGATCCCCTAGAACTTGGGTTCTTTCCCCTTCTCCAGGACAAAAGATCTGGGTATAACCTTTGGGCTGGTGGCCTGCGTGCTGGCACTTGTGCTAGGCCTGTGCTTTGCCAATGAGTTTTTGGTGAGTGGGGGCCCTGGGCTGAGCACCTACCAGGCCTATCATCCCTCCCTCCTGCCTTAGCACCCATCCCAGGAGTCCTCCTGGGTGAGCTTTGCCTGTCTGAGCCCCGTCCCACCTGCTGGAGGACGATTCGTTGAGTCCTCTGGAGGCTTCTCCTGGAGTCCGCCTTCCCTGCCTGCTTGTGGGCTGTGCTGGTCCAGGGCCCCAAGGTCCCTTCTGCCAGTGCACCACATGTGTACTGAGCTCTGGGCTGTGCCCACTTACTCTCCCTTATGGGGTTCTGGGGGCTCCTGGCAGTGGTGCCCTGGCCCTGTGTGCTCCTCTGGCCAGGACAGGCAGACTCTCCCTTCTGCCTTGGGTGGCACTGGGTGACTAGATCCTGTGGTTCTGCAGAGGTGCTGCCCAGCCCAGGGGGTGCTCCGGGCCATCTCTGAGAGTGTGGAGACACAGCCCCTGCTGCGCCTGTTCCTGGCCATCCTGACTGTCAGCAGCCTGCTCACCATTGCCGTCATCAACCTGGTGGGTTCTGGGGGCAGGGAGATGGGTTCCGACAAGGACCCCCTGCGAAAGCACATGCTTCCTGGGGCAGGGGAGTTAGTCTTTGGGTCTGTAAGCTGCATCTGTTTTGACTCCCTCCAGAGCAATGCAGCGGGTGTGACACTCTCCAGACAGGCTTGGCATCCTGCCCTTCATTTTCAAATGAGGATTCCACAGAACTTACTGGTCACCCCACAAGGATGGGATGACTTGAGCCACCATGATGCCCCTGACATCCTACTCTGTCTCCACAGCCCCTGGGGAGCTCCTCTCTCACCCTCTAAAACTTAGTTTCTTCATCAGGCATGAGGCTGGGATGGAACCTGGGCCCTGCTTCTCAGGTGTGCTGGCTGGGCCAAGAGCTGGTGTTCCCTGCCACCCCACTGCATCACGAGGTCTCCCCCGCCTCCAGGCTCCCATGTGCTCCTTGACCAGCTCCCTGGGGAGAAAGCACTCAGTGAACACGCCCATCCCAGCATCCCCCCAACCTGCCCTAATGGGCCCCTAATTATGGTGGGGTGGGTGGTGCCCACAAAGGTGAACTTACACTCTCCTCCCTGCTAGGGTCATGCTGAGAGCTGGGCTTGCAGGAGGTGCCCCTGATGGTCATGGAGGCCTACGACCCAGCCCTCTGGTCCTGCCACTGGTCCTCAAGTGCCATGCCCCTGGACCACTCCTGATGGGCACCTGTCTCCTTTGCAGAAGCTGACAGCTTATAGCAATGGGACAGAACCGAGCCTTTCAAACCCCTCGGACAGAAACCAATGTCAGTGCCTGGAGGCTGACCAGTGTGAGCATCTCCTGGTGAGTATCTGGGCCCGGGCCTATCCTCTGAGTGCTGCAGGTCCTCACTTGAATTCTCCTGCACAGCTCAGGACATTAAGAATGACTGATTCTGAGCGTCTGAGACCACGGGGTGTGGAAGAGCCTAGACCAGCCTCTCCCAGGAATGGGGGAGAGAGCAGTGCCCAATTGAGGACCAGTTGACCTCTGACCCTGGAGGATAGAGGAGTCTTGTCTGGGCACACTTGGTGCAAGGCAGGAGCATGGGAGGAGCCAGTGCTGGTGGGTGTCTCCCGACCACTCACTTGAAGGTGGGCCTGTTCTGGTCTCCCTTTCATCATGGAGAGGTGGACTTAGAGAGGCTCACTGAAGGTGGTGGAGGCTCGAAGGTGGTAGAGCCAAGTCTGCGCCCCAGGCAGCCCGACACCACCTCTGTGGGTCAGAGCATCCTGACAGACAACAGGATGAGGGCTTTGGGACTTCCAGGAGGGTAGCTGTGAATTTTTAACTATCCTTGAAGGGCAGAAAGGAGTTGGGGATAAGAGAGGGAACAGTAAGAAAAAGCTGAGGCATGAAGTGGGAACAGGGTTTCAGGTGGTTGTGTTGGAAGCAGAAGGAGTTGGGGGGATTGGGAGATGACACCACAGGGGGTTTGACTCAGATTAGGATGGGGTGTGAGTGCCAGGGCAGAGAACTTGGTCTTTACCCTGGGAGCCACAACCTGATCTAGAGTAGGAGAGTAATGCGGGCGAGATGGGCCTGGGAAGGGCAAGCTCATGGCAGAACTGGAGGAGGTGCATGTCTACCCCCGCCCTCATCTTTGCACAGCCACACACCACTTGCATTTTTATCCATGACCTTTTTTTCCTTCTAAATGAATTCACTTTCCACATGTAAAAATATGCCTGCTTTTTTGTTAAGGGCGTCAGCGAGGCTAGAATGATGCTGAAGAGACTGTCTCTGCACAGACTACCCCAAAGGTGGAGAAGGGCCCCATGAGTCCATGTGTCAGTGCCACAGGCACTCCTTTGGTGACTGCTGGTCCAGGTGGTGTTGACAGGAGATGGTGGGGTGACTAACATCATCCATCTCCCCAGTTCTACACCTGCAGCTGCATGCTGGCCTTTATCGCCTGCTCTGTCTTCCTGCGGATGAGCCTGGAGCTGAAGGTTGTGCTGTTGACTGCAGCCTTGGGGGCCTACCTGGTACTCTTCAACCAAAACAAAAACATCAGCCTGTGCTTTCAGCAGAACTGCAGCAGCAACAGCACTGATTGGTGGGGCCCAAAGCCACTCCTTGCCAGGACCTCAATCCCACTACCCATCTAGACTATGGCCCAGTGTAGCGATCTGGTTGGCTTTTCAGTGTCATTTCATACCAAGGTGCTTTTGCATTCATAGGCCCACCTGGACCCAACACTTCAGGGGTGGAGTGGCAGGTGGCGTAGGTCCCATTTTACAGAAGGGAAGTGACAGGCCCAGGCCCCAGGTCTGCAGCACATAGAACTGAATGACTTATTTGCAGTTTCTCTGGGGGAACTGCAAGTCTCTAGACCATTTGGGGTAAAGAGGAGGATGTTTCAGCTCTAGCCTAGTCCCCCTGAACTGGGTCCTGAAGTTCCAGGGTTTTGGAAAGGGATCCAGAACAAAACCTGGCATGGCTTTGCCCCCTCTTAATTGCTTGTGCCAGTCTCCAAGTCCCGGCATGTCACCTGCTCTGACTCACTATGAGGAGCTCAGGGCACCCCCAGCTTGTCCCCATCTGCCTGGAGTGCATACCCTTCAGAATTGGCCATGTCCACTCCTTGTAACCCAGTTGCAGGTTGAGATGTCACCACAGTGGGCCTGCCCCACCTCCCAGTCAGCACCTGCCCTACCACCCTGAAATTGTCTTGTTTAATGTCTACGCCAGGAAAATGTGAGCTTAGCAGGCAGAGATCTCTGCCCATTTGCTCTTTCCTGTGGGGTGCTGGGGCCCCACACAGCCTTCTGTATTTGGGGCTCAGTGGGAACTAGAAATGACTCTTGCCTGTCCCCTTCATGCCCAACAGGTGTTCAACCTGTCCAAGTAGTAGTCTGAATATGATGATCGATTTCTACCTGGCTCTGTTCTACGCCACCCTCATCATGCTCTCCAGACAAGTACGTGGACCCACCCAAGCCCCCAGGTCCATTGGCCTCCCTTGCCCTCCTGTGCCTGGGGAAGGACAGGTAGGAGTGGGGCTACCTCGGGTCTGGTGCAGCACAGAGGACAGAAGAGAGTCCTGTTCAAAAGCTTTGGTCCCTCGGTCAGGGGTCCCAATTCAGTGTCCTTCCTTTCTTGTACCTCCTCCTACCTGGACACAAGTGACATTTAATGTGTGGGTCACTTGAAAACCACGCTGTGGCTGATTCTGGATTCTAAGGTCATGGGGAGATTCTAAGGTGACTTAGAGACATTTGCTATGGACACAGGGTGGGCAGCACTGATGTGCTGGGTCAGTAGCCCCCGGGGGTTACAAGTGTGCCCATTCAGGTGCTCAGTGGACATTGTCTGCCCTTGCTCACGGCCTGATGTCCATCCCCTACTGCCTGCAGATTGACTATTACTGCCGCTTGGATTGTCTGTGGAAGAAGAAGTTCAAGAAGGAGCATGAGGAGTTTGAGACCATGGAGAACGTAAACCGGCTTCTTCTGGAGAATGTCCTGCCAGCCCACGTGGCTGCCCACTTCATTGGTGACAAGTTAAATGAGGTACAATACAAAGTGGGCTCCCTGAGGGGGTGACCTGGGCCTCAGCTCAGCCAGGTGCCCAGCTGTGGAGTTAGCCCTAAGAAACCAGCTTTGGAGCCAAAGACCTGGCTCAAGTGTCACTGTGGATGTGACAGCTCACCTCCCTTGGGCTTGGTTCACACCTATTAAGTAGGGCTGACAGTCCTTATATAGCAGGATTGCTGCAAGGATCAAAGGAATGCCCAGGTGCTTATAACCTGGACATGTGTTGGTGAAGAGTGCATTTCCACCAGTTCCATGGAGCTGCAGAGGGCAGGTGAGGGCGCTGAGGCCCTGGGTGTAGAATCCCAGTCTCCTGTTGGTTTTCTTCTACTATGCCAGGGGAACTCAAACCCAGCTGTGCAGACCCAGGGAACTTACAAGAGGCAAACCACCAACCCAAGCCTGACCCTCCCAACCCACCAACCCAGGCTCTACTTTGGTTTTTTTTTTTTTTTTTTGCATAGAAGAACTGGGGTGTAGGCCAGAGGTATGGGGAGTGAGAGGACCCTCACAGACAGAGTGGGGAGCAGAACAGGAGGAATGACTGAAACACACTGCTGAGGGGAGCAGCGGGCGAGACAGGAGAGGTCTGCTGTGCCATGTGGGTCAGCTCCCTGACCTGTGGGCAGCCAGGGAATCCAACTCATGCTGCAGTGACTGGCAATAGCTTGATAGCGCTGTCTTTAACCCCTGTGCCACCAGGGAAGCCCTCAGGCTCTATTTTTAATAGCCAGATTGAGAATCACTGCTGCCCCCTGCCCCTGCAGTGGAGGAACTACCTCCAAGTCGACCTCCCTGACTCCTCTCTCACTCGGATGGCTCTAAGGCCCCACTTCTCTCTTCTCTTCCAGGACTGGTACCATCAGTCCTATGACTGCGTCTGCGTCATGTTTGCGTCAGTGCCAGACTTCAAAGTATTCTACACGGAGTGCGACGTCAACAAGGAAGGGCTGGAGTGCCTGCGCCTGCTCAATGAGATCATCGCGGACTTCGACGAGGTACAGCAGTACAGCCTCAAGCTAGGCTGGGGACCCTGAGCTCCCTGGTCCGGGAAGGCCAGGCGTGGGGCCGCTGCAGCCCGAGGAACACAGGTGACAACTCTGCTGGGGGTTGCCCCTGTTATACAAGGTATAAGAGGTACAGATATGCCCTTTTCATTATTTTATTCAGCAAGCATTTTGTTAGCACCTTTGTGTCGTGCAGCTTCCTTAGATTTAGGTCCTTGTAGGACAGCCCAATTTCCAGCTCTGTGAGCAAGCTGCTTCAGAGGAAGTTGATCACTTTAGGCCTAACTCTTCATTGCCAATAACCATCATTCCTGTCAGTGCTGTGACTCCCACCAGAAGGGCAGTGGGAGTGGGAGAGAACCCAGAGGCCAGGTTCCTACTTGTGCTTACGCATGAGCTCGGTCCAGAAGGACCAAGCATGAAAAATGTCTGGCTTAGCACAGCTGGTGGGAGGGAACCCTACACCCCTTCTCAGAATCGGGATGGTCTGCACTAGATGTGTGGCCCCGCTTCACTCTGCTTCCCTTCATCCTGCAGCTGCTATTAAAGCCCAAGTTCAGTGGCGTGGAGAAGATCAAGACCATCGGCAGCACGTATATGGCGGCTGCCGGGCTCAGCATCCCCTCGGGTCATGAGAACCAGGTACTCAACCTGTCTGGTGGCCCCATGTCCCATCCCCGTGGGAGGGGAAATTCAACAGTTTTGTCACCTGGACAGGTCTGGAAAGGTAGCTCCCCTCTATGTCTGTCCTATGAGGGAGGGCAAAGAAGCTCCTGGCTTGGCCTGGGGGAGCAGATCCTGGACCCTGTGTGGAGCCTCTGGCCCATCTCTGCCATTCACGGCCCCTTCCCATGGCTATGATGGCCATGTTGGTGCACCAGTGGTCACCCGCAGAATGCTCCAGAGTGTCCCTCTAACACCCAGTCAAAGCAGGAAGACGGGGTCTGACTTCCCCTCCGCCCCACAGGACCTGGCTCGGCAGCATGCCCATATCGGTATCATGGTGGAGTTCAGCATCGCCCTGATGAGCAAACTGGATGGCATCAACAGACACTCCTTCAACTCCTTCCGCCTCCGAGTTGGTGAGGGCTAGGAAGGGGGCCAGGCTTGCTGTGGGGGGACACTGGGCAGCCTGCTGCCTCCAGGCAAGTCCATGCTCAGCCCAGTGTACTTTGCCATTTATTATGAAGTTTTATAGATCCCTCCTGCTCTTATAGCCCTTGTAATCGGGAATTATCCCTTGTTTACATAACATTTATAGAGTTACTTTTGAAAGTTTTAACTAAATAGGAATGTATCACTACAGAAAACAGAGGACCTCCCCGCCATGCCCCAAATCACCAGCTGTACACAGGTGACCATAAAAATATACCAAAAACAAAGTAGTCATTAAGTCGAACCATTGTTGTCCTCCAGAGCTGTTCTCAAAGTCCATGAGTTCAGTAAGAGGGAAGTAGCAGATACTAGAAAGTGTCACACCAGCTCCAGGCTGCCGAGTATGGCCAAGTCTGAAAAGACACCCAGGGAATGGTCTTTCCACACCTCAGCATGCTGTCCCGCCGCCGCAGGTCCAGCCTTTGAGTCTGTTATCTCAGTGCTTTCTGTGGCAGGCAGATGGCTTCAGGGCAGATGCCTGAGGCTGTGCCTCCCTCCTCTGCCAACTGCAAACATTATCTCCAGGCATCAACCATGGGCCTGTGATTGCTGGAGTGATCGGGGCACGAAAGCCTCAGTATGACATCTGGGGGAACACGGTCAACGTGGCCAGCCGGATGGAAAGCACTGGAGAACTGGGGAAAATCCAGGTAAAAACCACCTGGGGAGACTCACCAAGGGGGAAGAACTTCTAGGGGTGAGGGGCTTGGGCTTTGGCACGGGCTCCGCCATCCATCAGCTGTGTGGCTTCAGCCATAAACTTGAGGAAACCAGATGTGTCTGCTGCTCCTTGGCTGATTTCTGCCTGTCCCTTACACAACAGGTTTTCTTCTTGCTTCCAAAGTCTTAGGCTTCTTTTCCTTTCCAGGTTACTGAAGAGACATGCACCATCCTCCAGGGACTAGGTTACTCTTGTGAATGCCGAGGACTGATTAATGTCAAAGGCAAAGGTGAACTGCGGACTTACTTTGTCTGTACAGATACCACCAAGTTTCAAGGATCAGGGCTGAACTGAAGGCTTTTGGTAGGTGCAGAACATGCTGGAAGTTTATTTCCCTTTGGCTTGCTTCAGAGAAGGCAGACTAGATCTCACAGGGGTTAAAAGGCATACCCTCCCGGATGTGTGTGTGTGTGGTTCCCTTGGACTTGCACTAGACAATTTCTTCGACGCTGCGCCAGACCCCTGCTGGATGTGACCACTACAGCTTAGGGAGCACATGGCTGCCAGAGTCTGCTGTGGGGAGTCTGCTGCAGCCTCAGGCACAGCTGGAAAAGGCTCACAGTGAGTTTTAGACCCTCATTCCCCAGGGTGCTATGTAGATATTGGAGCATGACCAGAACACACCTCCTCCCCGTGGCCTGTGAGCTGCACTGCAAGATTTGTCTTTTTTAGGTATGGAGGACTAAGACACGTTCCCAGGAGGGGCTGGGGACTCCTTTTTCCCCAGCTACATGATTGCACATTTCTCATGCAGAGTCCTGGTAAACAGATGTTCAAAGGATGTTTTAAAAATGTAAATGGTTTCAAACTGTGGGAGTAAATATACCACAACCCAAGTTCATTCTTGCTTCTCTGACCTATGACTGTTTTCAACTGGATACATTTTAATGGGAGTCTATCCTTTTAAATGATTTCTGAGATGGCAGACAACATCTACTCCCTCCAATGGATGAGTTGCCTTTTTAACACTTGACACGTCAGAAGGACCAGGGTCCAGTGTCAACTCTCAGCATTAGCCCAGCTGTGGGGATAGGGCAGGAAGGACTGTGGCTCACAGCAGAAAGGCCACCAGCGGCCCTGGCTTTGAATCAGAAAACTTTCGGAGCTTAGGTTCAGTAAATAAAAGCCTAGAAAATAGGCAGCCTGCAGGCCTCTCCTCCCCTTTCCTCCTCATAGGTAACTTTGAAGAGCTTCAAAACTCAAGGGGCCTACTCAGCATAAGCATGTGTAGAGAGAGGGGTTCCCATATCTGGGAAGTGAGGGTCTCACAAGGCTGACATATTCTTGTTCTGAATATGTCTTGTTCTGAACCTGAGAGTCAAGGCAACTGCAAAAAGCCAGGTTTGTGATATGGTATCTTACAGGGTTTCTACTCCAAAGCAATGGATAGATCACTCCAGGTTTCAAGGAGAGAAATAACCAAGCTGGTGATCCCTTTTCCTGAATTGACTTCACTGCCTCATAATCAAAATGTCTCCAGGGGCCTCCCTGGTGTCACAGGGGATTAAGATGCAGCCTCTGAAGCTGTCCGCAGCCACTGCAGCACGAGTTCAATCCCCGGCCAGGGAGCTGACACACGTGGTGCAACAGACCTCTCCTGTCTCGCCCGCTGCTCCCCTCAGCAATGTATTTTAGTAGATCCGCCTGTTCTGCTCCCCACTCTGTCTATGGTGAATCCTTCCAATCCCCTCTCGCCCACCCGCCCCCGTATTTCTGGCCTACAACCCAGTTCTTCTACGCAAAAAAAAAAGTAGAATTTCACTACATAACAGGGATTCTTAGTCACATCTATGAATCCCCTGAAATTAAACAGAAAACCTTGCCTGCAGGAGACCTCCAAAGATGCGACAGGACTGCAGCCAGGTTGCCTGGACTGCAGGGGTTGAGGACGCAGTGCCACCCACGTTGCAGAGTTGCAGCTGATAGTGGAGGGGGACTGACAATGACCCTGCTGTCTGCCTGTACTTGTCCAGCTGTGGGACTTTTATCAGCCCAAGCAGGGCTTATTCTCATTTGCTGGGTGCTAGGTGAGCCCGTAGCAGCTGTGCATGACATGTAACTGAAATAAGTGTGAGTGAATTACAAGAACTTGCATGAATGACTTTTATGGGAAAATTGGTCTCATTTAAGTTGCCCTTTTTACACACCAACTTTTCATACAGTGGGCTTATTTCATATGAGTACTGCACTGAAACTGTACTTTTACAATCTTAAGTGGTGACCCAGGCTGGGTCACCTGGGAAGTCAGGAAGGTTCTGTCACTGAGACACACATCAGTGTGCTGGGTCTCTGGAGGTGGACATATTTCCACTCTACTCTTCCAGTATTCAAGTAACTTTTTTTTCTCCAGCAACAGAAAACCTAATTGGGAGTTAAAGAAAAATATTTCCAGTTATTTATTTCCAACTAAAGCAGTGTGCTCAGATAAAAATGTTTAAAGCTTTAGTTTTCGATGTTCGGGTCATAGCAAATAATTGACCAAAAAATCATTTGCAGTTTCTTCTTTATAAACCTTTTTACCAATAACCAAGTCATTTCTTCACAGGTGTCATTTTGCTTTATGACAGGACACTTTTTTTTCTAACACTCACTTCTCTATGGGTCAAGAACTTGCTTAAAGTTTCTGCCAAGGTGGCTTCACCAACTCCAGTGAAAATCGCACCTGAAGTTTTCTGGTTTACTTAAGAAAATTTCCTAACAGAAGATTAACCACTGTATACTTTGTGTCTATATTAAGTCAACGTGAAGAAATAGACTTTGAGAAGGTACAGGCAAATAACTGGGGGTTATTCTGTATATTGAGTATTTATAGACGTGTAATATTTGTTTCAAATGTCATGTTTCCTTTTTTTGTAATGCATAAGTGTTTCTTTGTTCAGCTTTTCATACATAAAATTAGCAATGTGGAAAACATTTGAATGTCCTAGTGTCTTGAATTTAAATATTTTCTTGGTCTTCAGAAACTTACCTTAGCTACTAAGTGTCCGATATTTCTGCATTTCTGCATTATGTCTGAGAGATTAAAATTAGACTCTGAAAAGACTTGAGAGGATTAATTTCCCTTTACCCTACTTGTTCTTACTAAACATTCTTACTAAATGTTAATTTCCAAAATAAAGAAAATAAAGCAATTTCCTTCCTGGGTGTTTGACAGAGGGTTCTCTACAATCTTAGCAGGGTCCTTTTTTTAAAAGCAGGGTCCTGACCTTAATCTGTGCACTGATCGAGGCTAGAACCCGGTTTCTGGTGGTCAAAGGGGACATCCAGGTTCATGCCCCCCTGCTTATTTAAGTAAACTACTCAAGCACTTGACCTCTGTATTTTAGATAAAAGTAGGTAAGTATTAGTTCAGGGGCATGGCTGAGGAATAGGTGACGTGTGAGAAACAGTAAATAGAAAAAGTAAACTTCCCCTTAAGCTCAATGATTCAAGGATGATTTATCTTACCTGGCTTATCCTTTCATTATAACTCCAAATAGCTCTCCCAAAAACTAAACACCAGACAAGTGAGGGCTATGAAATTCCTTATACTTTTTCTGGGGAGGCTAATGGGGAGAGGAGTGGTCAGTGCCAGCACCTAATCCCTTATGTAAGTAATCCTCCTCCAAGGACATCATTCCCATCAGGTATGTAGAGGACATTCTAGTAAATTCTATTTTAAAGTGTATTTGTTTTCATGGTAAAGCAATAAAATATCTCACTGGATGGGAATGTTTTTTAAAAAGCTCATGAAGGGCCTCCCCGGTGGCGCAAGGGGTGAAGATGCAACCTATGAAGCTGACTGCAGCCTCTGCAGCACGAGTTCGATCCCCCGGCCGGCCAGAGAGCAACCCACATGGCGCAGCAGACCTGTCCTGACTCGCCCACTGCTCCTCTCAGCAATGTACTTCAGTCAATCTGCCTGTTCTGTTCCCCACTCTGTCTCTGGTGAATCCTCTCACCCCCCACACGTCTGGCCTGTACCTCCCTCTTGTATGCATAAATCTTTAAAAAATAAAAGGCTCATGAAACACAAAGAAGCAGCATTGTCACTATTCTGAAAAAGCCTTGCCCATGTTTTCCTACTTTCGGATTGGCATTGTAATAGGTCAAAGTCATGTTTCTTCCTCACGAGGGCGGCTTTTTTGAATAAATCATCAAGAAGAAACGTGGTAAGTCAGGAATTATTTGGTTATTTCTTTAATGGGGAGAGTGTGGCAAATATGGATATCAATTACTTTTGGGATGTATTTTTTATGGCTGGTCATGGAAAAGTCTATTTTCTGAGCTTTTTTTTTTTAATCACTTCATTCTCAGTCAGTTCCAAGGAGCAACTCAGCTGACACATACAATATGGCTCGTCCAGGCTGCCAACCTTCTGGGGACACTGTGCCTCCGCCGGGTGAAACCGGCCAGCATCCTCTACAGCGAAATGCTTGGTCAACAGCAGCCGCCAATAGGAGACAGAGCAGCCTCTGGGCCGAGCGCCAGGCAGCACCTCTGGGGTCAGGCTTACCCCAGCTCTCAGGAATGAGATCTATGACATAAGGGAAAAACCCAAGTTGTCCTGGTCTCCACTTCCAATTGCTATTTCTAGGGACGCACGTAAAAAGTCTCAAGGTCATTTCTGAAAATAAAGTGCTTGGCAAAGTCCAAAGTCAGAGCTCCGCCCAGCTGTCCTGCACCTTTCTGCTCCGGGGGACAGTGCTGCCTGCTCCCCAGCTCGCTGGAAAGAGTCAGAATTCTCTCCTCTTCCTCCGGAAATCAGACCCCATCAGAACTTCTACACAAAGACCTCAGATGTACTGGGATAAGTCTTCTGGCACCTTGAAGTCTTGAAATGTTTCAGTTACTACTAGGAAAAGACTAGTGAAGCAACGATGACAACTAAAAGCAGAGCCCTTGCCATGGCTGAGGCTGCAGAGCGGGAGAAGCACAAAGCATCCAGGGCCCGGGTTCAAGGTTGAGGAGAAACAAGTACCTGAAGATGCTATAGAGGTTTGATGATGATTCTCTGGGATGCAGTCATGGGACATGCAGCGCGTGGGGGTGTGCAGCAGTGTGCCCGCCCTGGCCAGCAGCAGCATGCCTGGCTAGCAGCAGCACGCCTGGCTGTGTTTAGGGAAACATCACCCAATCGTCCTCATGCCCCCTCAGACAGGCTGGTTTTGGTAGCCCACTCCCCATTTCCTTGAGGAGGGAAACATTTCACACCCTGCACTCAGTGCCACACCTCACGTCATCTCTCTGCAGCTCAACGAACCTTCTCTGAGACATTGTATGAGGACTCCTCTAGCACAGGCTGGGTAAGTGCTGTCAGGCTTGTGTGTGCTGTGCTTATAAGGTGTGAGAGCTGAAGGAGGTAGGAAAGACAGAGGGGCCAGGACAGACCCCAGGCCAGTGCCCACAAGCAGTGGTGGGAAGCAGAGGGCCTGGGCTGGAGGCAAACATTCACGGCTCTGGGGTGCATGCTGGAAGCAGTGGCCAGACCTCAGCGGCTGGGCTCACCTGGGACAGGCCCAGGGAGAAAAGCGGGGCTCCCGGATATGAGGGGATCCACAAAGTCTGAAGGAAAGCAGTAAGAGTGTCCACCCTTCCTGCCACATGTGCAGGACCCAACACCCCATAAGCAGACCACAGAGGCTGCTCCCTCCCTGGCCACCAGAAGCCGCCTCCGCCAGCTGCCCAGAACACCTTGCACAGATGTTTCTGTCCTGTGTGAAGTGAACAGCATTTTGGGGCAGGGCAGTGGCCTTGTAGCTACTGAAAAAACATGTCTTTCCTGGCCTTCCACAAGGGCAGCCAGGTACAAGGTATTCCAGGAGGAGGCTGCCCAAGGCCAACAGGAAGGGGTTGCCACAGACCCCTGGCCACACTGGGGTGGTTCTAACAAAGCCACTGGGGCTCACACACTAGGCCCAACTGGTCTTTGGCCGGGAAAGCCGTTCTCCACACAGGGCTTGCTCCTTCCCTATAAGGTATCTCCCTCCTTAAAGGTCCTGGGACTCCACAGAGAGAGGGCCCAGAAAAGCCAGAGCCACAGACCAACTCCAGAAGGCCCCATGCTGCTCCCTTAGGGCTCTGCTCAGAGGCGCACTCAGATTCCACACCTGAGGGAAGGGGCCCAGACTATCTCCAGCCTGCCCTGGGTCACAGCTGCCCTTGGCGTCCCACATGCTCCCACAGGCTCTCCAGCAGGAGGCCCTGGTAAACACTGGTGTGTCCACCTGGCACTGGCCTCCCATCCTTGGTCCCACGTCACAGGCTGACACGCAGGGGTATGGACAGCCACCTCAGTTTTAGCCATGTAATCCCAGGGACCCTTTGGCACGTGGTGGGAGCAGACACAGGCAGAGGGGAGGAAGGGCAACCAGACTTCTAACCACTAGTTCTAGGGCAGCATGGAGTGGCTCTGGGTGCTGCCGATGTCATGCAGGGTCATCAGGTGAGGTGACAGCCAGTCGCTGGCCCTCCTGGGGTGCTGCGGGAGAACTCCACGGTCTACTCGATGGCCATCTGCTCAATGTGGTCGCTCAACAGCTTGTATTGCTCTGGAAGGGAAAACAACATTACATGGATGTGGACAGGAAGACCCTGCTCTACTTGCTTCAGGTGAGGACACATCAGACCTCACACCGTTGGCTGTGTGGGGGCAGGGGCATGCACTGGGGTGTGGGTGCTGGGCACTGGGTTGTGTGTTCTCATGGCAAAGGGGTCGTTGGGGTGGCCTACAGACCCCTGGAAGCCAGCAGGAGGGACAGGCAGATGAAGTATTACAGGAGCCATATGAAGGCGGGAGCCATGCAGTGGCTGAGTGGCAGGTAAAGGGGTAGCATCGTTGCCCTTGGTTGGCATGTTGGGGCTGGTGATGACATTTTGAGATGATCTAGGGGCACCTCTGATCCTGTGATACTCTCCCGTCACCTCCTGAAGCAGCTGCTCCAGAGTGCAGGATGGAGGTTTTTTTTTTTTTTTTTTTTTTTAATAGAGGCATGTTTTATTTATTTATTTGTTTATTTGTTTGTTTTGTTTACACATGCACTGGGTACAGTCAGAAGCGCGGGAGGGTGAGAGAATTCACCAGAGCCAGAGCGGGGAGCAGAGCAGGCAGAAGGGCCGAAGTACACTGCTGAGGGGAGCAGCGGGCGGCAGGAGAGGTCTGCTGCCATGTGGGACCCTCCTCTGGTGGCCGGGGAGCAGCCGGGGATCGAACCTGCACCACAGAGGCTGTGGGCAGCTTCGTAACCCAGCGCTCAACCGCTGCGCCACCGGGGAGGCCCTTTTTGTTTTTTTTTTTTTAAAAGATTTATTTATTTTATACAAGAACCAGGGTACAGGCCAGATGCATGGGAGGGTGAGAGGCCTCACCAGAGACAGAGCGGGGAACAGAACAGGCAGACCAATGAAACACACTGCTGAGGGGAGCAGCGGGTGGCAGGAGAGGTCTGTCGTGCCATGTGGGACCCTCGCTGGTGGCCGGGGATCGAACCGGCACCACAGAGGCTGCAGGCAGCTTCGCAGCCAAGCGCTCAACCGCTGCGCCACCAGGGGAAGCCCCTGTTTTTTTTTTGTTTTTTTTTTTTTAAATAAGGAATATTGGTCAATGCAAATATCCCCGTAAGTGGGAGAATTTCCAGGCTGTGAGGTGGACCTGTTTTGTGGAGTAACATAATGGATCTGGCCCTGGCAGATCAGGAGGCTGACTCAGCAATGCATTCCAGAGATTATAGAAAGACCTCGGGATGCCCTCCCAGCTTCCCCTATGTTGTCACACTATACCTTCCTGGCAGTGGGATTTGGGTTATCAAGGGTTAACCCAAAGTTCCGAGTCTGCCAGGTTCTGAGTCTGCAGCTAAGTACCATCTTAAACTTTGGCCCTGACAGCCAAGGCTGAGCTACCCACCCAGGCAGAAAATGGATTTCTAAGTGAAAGGTACAGGGTCCCTATGGGTAGGCAGGCCCTGAGGCGGGTCCTCACAACCTCAAGAAGACAGCTCAACCTCGCATTTCTAACGAGCAGGGACCAGCCTTTGAGTGGGGGGAAGAAACAGGACAGTACAGGGCGCCTCGCTCCCATCCACCTGCCCACCTCTCCCTGACACACCTTCGTCTAGATTCCCGATCACAGCCTGCTTCTTCAAGAAGTCGCTGCACAGCTTCCTGCTCAGGCCGAAGGCCAGCATATTGTGCGTGAATGTTCTGTGGGGAAAATATGACCATCAAATCTCACTCCTGCCTCCTAGGGACGGCACCAGCCCCCCTCTCCCAGAGCCCCGCATACACCCCACCCTTGGCCAGCCAACCACTCAGGGGAGATTCTCACCATGGGGTGTGGCCTGAGGAGATTATAAGGAACAGGAATCCAGGCCACAGGTGGCTAAGCACACGCATCTGGGCCATGTAAGCACACGTGGCTTGCCGACACTGACACTGTAAGGATGGTGTCCCCCTCAAGAGCCCCAAGGGTGGGGAGTGTCTCATCCTGCAGCCCCTCCTCACCAAATCTGAATGCCTTCCTCTGCTCTGATTTCTCACCAATAGGTGACTCAGGGAGGGGCCAGCACCTTTGGCTTAGGAGAGGCCCAGGTTAGTCCAGGCCTAGACCTGGTCCATCCCCTACTACTGTCCAGTGCACCTCCTCTTCCTCATCACCATCCTCCCCTTGCAGCTCCAGATCCTGTCCTGCCCCCCATAGCCCTAGCCCTTCCCACCTGCCCCTGGCCCCTCCCCGCTGCCCAGTATAGGCGCACTCTCACCCCAGCTGGCCAAAGGTGATGTTCTCGTGGAACCGCAGGCTGTCATCGCGTTCCTCTTGGCTCATGTGGCACCACTTCTCCCTGCAGGCACAGAGGTGATGGAGGGGTTCCTGAGAGCCTCCACATGGCATGCGCCCCCTGCTCTGAGCTCCACTGTGGTCGGCTCCCAGGGCCACCTCCTGCATGGCAGGAGCATGTCACCACAGAGCGGTCACTCTCTGAGCCGCCTGCCGTGCTCTGACCCTCACCTGTGGGCCCCATGCAAACATTTCTGTCATGTCTCTGTGGTGAAGAACCCAAGAGGACAGGCTTGGATAGGCTTACTACTGACTCGGAGACAGGGAGCCCTTAGGCTGCCCAGAACATTCTCTAGGAGTCAAGGCCAACGCCACATCATGAACTGGGTTCCAGAGTGAAGCTCACAGCCCCACCACATGGTGGGGGAGACCCAGGGGAGGAAAGGGCCTGTGCCATGGCAAGTAGGCACCCAGAACCCAGCCAGGAGTTCTTGCTGCTGAGAAGCCAGCGAGATGCCTGGTGCGGGGCGGACAGCCACGACAGTGACCATGTGTGAGTGCTGTGCACGTGGCACCATCTGGGCAGGCAGGCCTGGGCTCTGCTTCGGAACTGTGGCTCTCCTGGGCGTGTGACAAGACCCAGGTTCTTCGCTGAGGCCCACAGTGCCCCTGTGACCCCTGTGTCACTGGCACAGTTCCCCATACAAAGCATGGGGCACCCCAGGGAGGAAGTCATGTGGCCTCAGGGGTAAAACTCTAAGGGACAATGGTGTGTGCATCATGGAGAGACTGAAGGGCATGGCTTTGAGGTGGGGAGGCTCCTGAGTACTGAGTCAGTGTCCTGCTTGAAAGTCTCCCCACACAGTGGGTCGTCTCCAGTGTCAGTGTGTCCCCCTCCCCCCACACCAGAGTCCTCATCTCCTGGGGCCAAGGGGCCACCCAGTGACTACCCCTCAGGATTTGTCTGAGAAGGGTGCCTGCTGCAGCTGCTGAGAAGCTACTTTAGTCTATTCCCTCTAAAGGTTAAAGTCTACATGGATGAGTCTGACCAAAACAAGGTGAAGAGGAAGACAAAAGAAAAAGGAGAAAAGTGGGGGTGCGATGGGGTGTGGGGTTCAGAAAAAGAGGAACAGAACCAGAGAACGTCAGCTCTTAACTCCCTGCCACCCTCCTGCCCCAGGTCATTGCTCTGTTGCAGCTTAGCAGAAACCACCGGACACGGGACTGGGAAGGAGGCGAGTCGGTTTGTGCCCTCTCTCCACAAACCGACCCCATGGCCGCCCAGGGTATGCCTGCAGGTCCTGAGTGAATCCCATCCCAATTTCCTCCCCATCCTCTTTCCCCAGTGGTCACTGTTAGCACAGAAATTGTCCAGGCACAGAAATCCCCATACCACCACCAGGCCCGCCACACAGTTGTGGAGGTTGGGGACTGTACAAACCTGGACACATGGGAGCAGCTCTCCCGGGGTTGTACAGCACAGCAGCCCCAACCCCATTCCCCCTAACCCAGATGGGATGATTCTTTGTGATTTGGGCAGGACTAGAATTGGGGGGTTTAGCCAAATTTCTGATGAAAGAGGTGGGAGGTGACTGGCAATAGGCAGGTCTGGATGTGCTGACAATCAAATCAATTCCTTAGTTCTGACTTCACTCCCCAGGACTCAGCAAGGTCTAATGCTGCACTGAGGGGGAAGCGTGGGTCTAAACTGTCTGAGGACATTTGGATGTGACCAACAGCTCACAGAGATGGAAGCTCTGAGAACCAAGAGGACGCTGATGGGACTGGCGGCAAAGATATCCAAAAAAGAGAAATAATGTCGGAGGCACGAGGTTGCCATGGGACCTGAGGCCAATGCTCCCACCTCCCTCACCTCAAGCGACATTTGCTGCCCCTCTCATGGTGAGGCCTGGAGCATGTGTGAGTGTCCCAGAGGGGCAGGTCCGAGATGTCAGACCACAGCCCCGCTGGTGAGCAGACCCCGAGACCCCAAGGCTGGCCGTCCCCTCTCAGGCTCAGCACGCAGGGCTGGGAGGAGCCACGACGCCCCAGGGGTCTTAGGCCTGGGTGGTATTGCTAGGAAGCCTTGCTCCTAGACAGACTGAGGGGCTCTGGGCTTCCTTCTTGAAGGAGGCACCGGTCATTTCCAAATGCTCCTTTTAAAGCCAGAACAAGGCTACAAAAGAAACAAGATTTCTCATAACGCAATCAGCAGTAAGGCTCTATCACTGACTAAAGGAGTCATGCTTTGTGAAATTTCCACTGGGAGAAAAGATATTGTATCAGAAATGATATTTTGAATAGGCAGCTTGTAACTCTAAAAATAAATCACAAGAGACCTGACAAATACAAAGTTCCCACAAGTGGAGTTGGACCCCACAGTGGACTCACAGGGAACAGCCTGTTCTGGGCTTTCTCTTTGGGGATCCCCCCACATGCACAGGCTCCGCACCACAGTGCGGCTGTCCCACCTGGTGACCCCCCACCAGCTTCTCCACCCGGCTGTAGTGGAGGGCAAGGGTCTGCAGCCCTCACACCTCCGAGCCTGGGAGGCTGCAGAGAGAGGTCCTCTGCCCTCCACCAGGCCTCAGGGGTCAGGTCGCACTGGGGCCAGGGTGTGTTTGCTTGGAAGGGGCCTGCCTGAGCATGAAGAAGGTTCCAATGCCTCGGAATCTAGCCAGCTCTCTGGCCTCCACTGCTCTCTCCATCCTCGACGCACACTAGGTGTCTCAGGACGCCTTCTGATGCTATTTGGTACCCTGACTACTTTGGGGGTACCCCACCTGTCACCAGCCTGGCCTGCCCCCTGGGGATGCTCTCAGAGCCCCATATCTGGGCTCTGAGCCTGCCAGCAGCAGAGTACGTGGCCCCCCGCCCCGAGGGGGCCCGGAAGGACCCTGGTGCTGTAACACAGACAAAGTCACGACACACACCTCTTCTTCTCCTCCTCTCCAGCATCCCCTCTGGAGCGGCAGCAGAAACAGGTAAACAGAGGAACATGTCAAAGTCATGCAAGATGTGGATGGAAAAAAGAGAGCAAGCCAGAGAGCGGTTATCACAGGCAGGAGCGGAGAGCGACAGAGACAGGGCGTCCAGACCACTTTCCTAGGAATCTGAGAGGAGACAGAGGAAACTGTCTGCCTACGACAGGTAAGCTCTGCCCGTGTCATCTTGGGGAGCTAAGGATCCTCGGCAGGGTCCTGGGGCAGGGTCGCGGTACCTCCTGCTCCTCCCGCCTCCACGGCAGGCTGCTGTGGTATGCGGTGGGCCTCTGGGCTGGAGCTGCCCTCCAAAGAGAAAGATTTCACTTAAGACTGTCTCAAGGGGAGGAAAGCCTTACTCAGACAGCAGGCATCTGCCTTCTCTCCTGTCAGGAGAGGTCCCCCAACATTAGGGAAGGAGGGGATCTGATATACTTATGAGGAGACGGGCTCTAAGAGGTTCAGACTTCGAACATCATGAGGTCCCACCTCATGATGGGTGGGACCAACAAGGGGACCTAGCCCAGGGAGGGCTACTGCCCTCTGCTGCCAGGTCCTGTGTGCAGTGGGTGCCCCTCTGCTAGCTGTGGCCAAGGGCATCTGAGTCCCTTTCCTTGGCATCAGTGCTGACCACACCCCCTGCCCTGCTGGCTGCATGGGCTCTGGGATAAGGTTTGGAAAAGCGGTCCCTTAAAGCGCAAGACCACCCTCAGGGGAGCCAGAGGGTCATCCAGGCTGCAGAGAGGAGGGTAGATTGAAAGCAGCCACTGCATGTCCCCAGATGTTAGCTTGGGAGAGCAAGGTCTGGGGGTGTGGCAGCCCCCACCCCAGGAATCGGTGCCCCCATCTGATTTCCTATGACAACAGGCAGGTGGGTGGCAGGGTCCAAAGGCTTCAGTCCGTGGGTGTGTGCATTTGAGGAGGGTCAGGCCAAGTCATGCCAGAGCCCAGGTGGAGAAGCGCATGCAGGCAGGACCCCGCCCCGCCCCAGTCGCCCCCACCCGCTGAGCGCGGGCCCTTCAGGCAGCTTGCAGGGCATGGGGCAGGGCAAAGGGCTAAAAAAGAAATGCAGAAGCAGGGGTTCAGCTGCCCTTCTGCCTCCTCTTCAACAACAGGAGACTAAAGCCCCTCCCTGGTGCTCTTCCCCAGGCAGGGCTGCTGGACATGGCTCCTACCTGGTGGTGGGCGAGCGCTTTCTCCTCTCACAATGCACAGCATCAAAAAAGGCTGCGTTCCAGAACCTGAGCGTATGCCTGCAAGACAGAGACGTGGTGAGGCTTCTCAGTGGCAGGCGGGCCGGCTCAGCCCATGCAGGGAGAAGATGGGGCAACCCGCTACACCTGGCAGAGCTGGGAAGCCTGGGAGGCTGAGCTGCGAAGAGAACTCCAGCACACGCCTTTATCCTAAATTCAGGGGGCTCCCTGGGGTTCTCGGCCAAGCGCCATGTTGGCATCTGCATGCCTCCCAGCACAGCAGGCAGAGGGATGGCAAAGCCTAACGGGGTGCAGGCCCAGAGATAAGCGGGGTACTCCAGGTCAAGGCAGAAGCCACCCACAGCAGGACGCAGATGAAGGCGGAGTTCTGCTCTATCCCCCACTAAGAGGCTCAGGGAGGGCTTTTCTAGAACTGTCTAATTGCATAAATGGGAACCCAGGAGGGCCTGGCCAGGTGCAGAGAACAAACACACTTGTAGGGAGACACGAGCCAAAAACATTCTTCTTAAAGGTCAGGGTCAGCAGTGACAGCACGTTGTCTGGTCTGGCCTGCCGCCTGCCAGTGTAAGTGGAGCTGCAGGAGCACACGGCCCTGCCATGCTGTCATTGGCTTTTACACCACCACAGCCGGGATGAGCGATGGCCCGTGAAGCCTAAAATATGTCTCACCTAAAATATGTCTCAACTTTAAAGAAAAGTTGTCTGGGCCCTGCTGCAAATGTAAGACGGCAGCCAAGTCAAGGCCAGAGGGGCCAACCGACACCAGCAGGCAGAGACCAGGTGGGCTGCGCTGGCCTCTCCTCCTCACCGCTACTACTGGAACCTGGCCCAGCCAGTGCACATCTCCTCACCTGCCTGAAGCTCCTGCCCAGCCCTCCTGGCCAAGCACCCAACATGGCCCTTGTGCTGTGGCAGCCAAACTTTCCCAGTGATCTTCATGGGAGGACCATGTCTGACGCCCCCAGGGCCCTGGAGCCAGAGCACTGCTCCTTGCAGTGGATGGGCCGTGGTGAGGGTGGGGCCTGGGAGGGATTAAAGCAGCACTAACGGTCATCCCAGAGCAGGACGGGGCGAGATGTCCCCTGACCTCTGCCCCTGCTCTTCACACTTGGCCTTCACCTTCTATAGCCAATAACTATGTACCATGAAGTTCACTCATATAAAATGTACATTCAGTGGTTTCGAATCTATTCACAGACTTATGCAAATTTCATCACGATTTCCAGAGCATTCTCACAACCCCTGACATCAGCAACCTGCTCTGTCTGCAGGGCCTGGCCTGCTCTGGGCATGTCATATGAATGGAATCACACATGGGGCCTTCTGTCTGAGTCTCACCTGTGTGTTTTATAGTTTTCCCCATGTTGTATGTGATCGTTACCTCATTTCTGTATGGGGCTGGTGATATGGACGTACAGCCACACGTCACCACTAACAGGGATACATTCTGAGAACTGTGTTGTCAGGCAAGGTCGCTGCTGATGGAGTCACAGTGTGACAACCCAGGCCTGGGCAGCCCAGCCTATGAACACCACCTGCGTCTACATAGGCCCCCATGTGCCACCGTGTCTGAGGGATCATTCCACAGCCCACCAACCCTCCTATGCTAATCTCTTCCAGTGGAGTCCCCAGTGGGCCACATGACCTTCATTCCTGCCGGAGACATCGCCAGCCCGTCATGCTGCCCATGGGCGCAGGGGCTTACCAGATGGGCTGCTGTTTCAGGTGCGTGTACAGGTAGATCTTCTCCCCCTTCCTTTCCTCCTCAGGGCTGCTCACGGTCACTGCGGGAGGGAAGGACTGAGGGTGGCTCTGGGTGCCCACCCCATGGTCACATTCCCAGCAGCTTCTTCCCAGAGCTAGAGAAACACCCAGGAGGAATTGTTGCCTCCCATGCTGGCAGGGCAGTGGCACTCCAAGGCATTTGGGACCTGCTTGTTGGTGTTGCTAGTTAACAGTGGGCTGGGGTAAGCCCCACTCTGGCACTCCGGGTTGCAAGGATTGAGGAGCACTGTGGGACCTCGACTGGTACCCGCCGGAGCACGGGGGGAGAGGCACTCACCTGTCCTCTGTGGCCTCTCCTTTGGCTTGTTCTCATCGTCCCTTGGGGGAGAGAAACCACATCAGTGACCAAAGGCCCCATCCCCACATGCTCCTGCAGCCAAGGCACCCTCTGCGTCGCCACAGAGGGCGTGTGTCATCAACCATTCCCTGGACGTGGCTTTCTCTGAAGAGATTTTTATTAAGTCACTTCTACTCTGTCACTGTCAGGTTTTAGAACTGAGGTGATGTGGTATTTAGGCCTCTTTGTGCCCTGTCTCTGATCCAAAACTGACTGGATCAAAAGAATAAAGTAGCCAGGCTGAAACTAGTCATTGATGGGGACCTGGGAGCATGGGTGGGAGGCCTGCACAGGCACTGAGGAGCCCAGGCGCTCTCTTACTGGTGTGTGCAAGCCTTAGCTTCTAGAACAGCCACACCCAGAGCTTCCAATTTCCATCAGAGAACTGCGGTCCCAAGGCACAGTGGCTTTCTCCTCGCCTTTCCAGGCTCCATCAACACTAACTCTCACCACAGCCAGGGGGAGGGGAGGGGCTGTCACTTCCCTCCTGCCAACTGACGGTTGCCATCTGCTCTTCATCCGTCCTAGAAAACACGGACCCACAGGGGACCGCCCTGTGTGTGGGCGATCGGAACACGTTTGGGAACCACAACCCACTCTTGTTGAGCTGGCAGCTGTGCTCTCGGGAGCCACTCTCGGGCCCCACATATCTGGTGGGGAGGATGGGGTTGCCCATCACCAAGCCAGGGTCCTCCCGGTCACAATAGGTGGGCCCTCCCCACATCACAGATGGGTGAAGCCCCCACCCCCGGCAATGAGACACTTACTCATTTTTCTTGACCAGGGGTCCCTTCAGCTTGGTCTCCAGCCCTCCAAAGAAACCCTTGACATTCTCCGTCTTGGTGTTCTTCAGCAGACGCTCAGCGATGTCCTTCTTCTCGGCCAACCAGCTGTTGGCGGACTTCAGGTAGGAGTCGATGCTCCCTGCAGGCTTCTCCTTGGACTCCGAGGGGAGCAAGTGGGGTTTACCTAGAGAGGGGGAGAAAGGAGCAAAGCTGAGTCTCTGCGGCTGTAGCCCAAGGAACTTAACATGGGGAGCCCTCAAGTTTCTCACAAAGTTCCAGAAAGTTACGGTGGAACAAGCCAGAGGAGCAGCAAGCACCTCAGCATAAGAGCCCTCTTCTTCCTTCAGAAAGTCATCTCCAGCCCAGACCTGGGGACACCATCCACCTACTGTCCTGGAGGCTCCTCCCACCTCAGCCAACAGCTGACCCCTCGTCATATTTTATTAAAACATGAAACTGATATCCTCACATCCCACAATCCTGTGTCTACCATGAAATGTCCTGGCTGGGGTCTTCTTTTTTCATTTCCTAACAGCGTGGTGGTCTCCAGATGTGGACAGTCACGTCTTGATTCACCAAACAGACCATGTCTCCTGCTATAGGAGTCTCACTCCTCTCTGTCCCCCCTAACATCAGCTTCCTTTGTTTTCTGGAAGTCTCACAGCTTTGCCTTCGATGATGAAGATATCCCCCAGGGCGGCTTCCAAACCTGCCCACGCCCCGGGTCTCACCGATGTGGTAATACGTGAAGCACATGGTCATGAGGTTCTTAGCGGGCCCGAAGTCATCCATCTGATGGCACCTGCAGGGAGACATAAGGGTGACTGGCTGGGGAGCCACTGGAAACACTTCCCAACAGGTTTAAACCAATCCATCACTGCGTAGAAGCCGTGAAAATAATCCCCCCAGGTCCCATTAGTTGAGCTCCCCAGAGATACATGGCCGGGGACAGGGTCTGATTCTGGGCAGGAGGAAGTTCACGGTCAGTCAAGGTATCTTTCATTCTAATTTTTTTTCGTAGAAGAAATGGGGTGTAGGCCAGAGGTGTGGGGGATGAAAGAATTCACCAGAACAGGTGGATTTATTAAAATACACTTCTAAGGGGAGCAGTGGGCAAGACAGGAGAGGTCTGCTGTGCCATATGTGGGTTAGCTCCCTGGCTGGGGATCGAACTCAAGCGGTAGGGGTGACAGCACTGAGATATAACCCTTAGGCCTCCAGGGAGGCCCCCGCCTTTCATTCTAAAGGAGGAACAGCCACAGCCCAGGACGTTTGGCGATAACATGTGGGCAGCATCAAACCCGAAGTCAGGTCTTAGGCCAGAACCAGAAGCCTTCTCCATTTGGGCTGCATCAGAAACACCTGGAGCACATGTTAAAGTGTGGGCTGCTGGGCCATCTCTGGTGCAGCGGGTCTGGGGAGGACCTGAGGGTGTCCATTTCTAGCACCCTGTGATGCTGGCTCCAGGGGCTCCTGGCCAAGGGCTAGCACTAAGAGAGCCACTGGCTGAAAATCAAATGAAATCATGTCAGTCAGGATGCTTTTATATGCTGAATATGCTCTATAAGTGTAAATGGTACTATACTCACTACCATTCAACCTGGCAAGGCAGGGGGAGTCTCAAAGAGGCCCTTTGGCTGCCAGGAGTAGGCAACAGGAAAGCTGCTGTGCAGGGCAGAGGAAATGGAGGTGACCTTCCCCATGGTGGTGGCCTTATTTCAGGCACTGATTGAATTATGGTACATTAGCATTAGAATATCACATAGCCTCTACAAATGCAGGCTCTTTGTAAATATGATGGCTTTTGTGGAAGAGAAATTGGCTGGCATGGACCTGATGGGTGGAAGTCATCATGGGGAGAGGCTGCAATGAGTAGGCTGTGTGGACCAGCCTTCCCTTTCCTTCCAGGCTTTTCTGCCTTTCTCCCTGTTCCCTTTTATTCTATTCTTTGCTGTTAAGTTCTTAACCTTGGACAAGTTTTACTGGGGAAAAAAGTCATCAGGAATGATCTAGAGAGTGGGATTAAAGCCATTTTTTGTTTATCTTTGAATAAAAAATAATCTAATAAATCTAAAGAATTAGACTGATAAAGCCATAAGACTAAGTAAAAGTAAAAACTAAACATCTGAGCCAACAGAAAATTGTAAAATTCCTAAGTTTAAAAAATATTTTCAAAGTATAAAGAGCTTATCGTTTATCTCTGTCATGACCACACACAAGGTCACAGGAAGATGCTGGGTTGTGACAGGACTGGACCTTGGATGTGATTCTCCAAGTTTACTCATCTAAGGAAAGGTGAAGAACCGGGTAAGTATGTCAGCCTGTGGGACAGGCACCATCTACACGAAAGATGGTCCTAAAAACCCTTACAGAGGCAGAGCTGGAAGCTGAAGTGGTTTTGAAGCCAGAGGGTGAGCGGGCAGGTTGATACCAGGGGACTGTGTGAAACCAGCTCCCCCCTCAGCCAGTTCCCCGCCTCCCAAATCTTGCCAGCTGGGGGCCCAGAGCCCCCCACGGGAGCATACACTGAAAAAGTGCAGGTAAAATCATGTGGTCACTTTTCTGCAGTGCCTGCCACCTATTCATGGGGACAGAGAGAGGGAAGGAGACAAAAGACTTGTGGGGACAGGGAGGATTAAGGTTCTAGAAAGCAGCTCCCTTTCTGAGAAGACAGGGAAGGAAAAACAGAGGGGGGATTTTCAGGCTGGAAGGACAAATGGACAGGGGGACAGGGAAGGTGGTGATGGTCTGGAGGCCACGCCGAGGAGGTGGGGCAAGGGAGGGTACCCTTTCGTGGTAACAGGCATTGGCAGAGCATAATTAGGACTCGGGGCTACAGTCATCCAGTCGGCCATCCAGGGGGCGGCCACCTAGTTGGACGAACTTCACAACAGGAAAGCAAGAAAACTCCAGCTCTCCCTGGGGAAGGGCGGGCCCCCGTATGTCATCGGTCAATCCTGAGAATTCACTCACGCCCAGCACGGAGCTTGAACCTACTGCCAGGTAAGACCTACAAGTCCCTCCCGTGGGACATGAGCCTCTGTCACGACTTCAGGGTGTGTCACAGCAAATGCAGCTGCTCTCGGGCTGTGACTCACAAGTGGGGAAGGGCCGGGAAGCAGGGTGGGGAGACGGCTTACTAGGAGGAGGTAGTGCCGCACCACTTACTCAAACAGGACCACAGCGAACGACTGCACCAGGCGGTAGAAGGTCGGCTCTGAGACACACTTGGAATTGCAGCGCTGTCCAGAAAGAAGGCAAACGTCACTGGGTGCCCAGGAAGCAGGGCAGTGCAGCTCAGGGGCTGCAGGCTAACTAGGCTGATCTACAGCTTGCGGCCCGGGGCCAGGGCCCAGCACGGGCAATGCACACCCAGCCAAAGTCCAGGGGACACAAGAGGATGCACCCTTGCATCTCCTAGTGAGATTTTAAAGCTCATGCTCCCTCTGGCATGGAAAAGGATGGAGGACTCAAACCCCAAAGGCCCCATCAGCTGTTCCTGGATGATGGGTTTATGGGCCCTTTGTTTCTCTCTGTGCAAATTTGCACTGATTTTCCTTTGAGGCACAAATGATTTGTCACAAAAATACTGAACTTAACAACAATTTCAAGCACTTTAGAGAGAACAGAGAATCTCCTGGATATTTACAAAACTCATTTTCTGAATATAGATGGTTTTCATTCTCCTGAATGTATTATCTTTGAAAAAAAACCCTAAATATTGTGGGTCATTTCATAAAAACACACAAGGACACAGCCCAGAGCTTGCCTTTGAAAACCTCACTTCCCTGGGACTTCTCACGGCTGGTCACCAGCATGCTCTCTCCTCTCCAGTGGGGCAGCCAAACCAGCTACTCCCCACTACTCTGCCTGGGCCTTTCAGAACACGGTGGCTACATTGCTTCTGCTGGGTTATTCCCATGCCCTTCTCTCCACAGCAGATGGCAGAGAGAGCTGTGGGTCTATCACACCTGGCCTGTCCCTGGCCAGCCTTACCTGGGCACTCACATAGCGAGCAAACCACTCCCGGCCCTTCCCATTCTCACTGCTGCAGTATTCTCCGAACTTGGCTTTCTCCTCCTGGTCCAAGTCCTCCCTGAAAAAAGGCACAGTAGGGAAAAAAGAAGCCACTTTTAGTCCTCCAGAACAAAAAGGGGACCGTCAGGGATGAGCAAGGAGAAGGGACCCTACCACATCTGCCTGCACCCTGCAGGTTCCCCTGCAGACTTGAGCGCATCTCACCCCTGGCAGGTGAGGCACCTGGCTGGCAGGAGGAGACGCAGCTGGGGGGGGGGGGAAGGGAGCTCCGTAGTACTCTTCCTGCTCACCTCCTGCCAGGCGGAGGTCAGGCTGACTGGGCACTCCCAGGGCTTGAGTCTCTAGCTCCTCTCACTTTGGTGCTGAAGTCAGCATGTACCTACCCCCACCCCCACATCTCAGGACACCTGGAGGCCTCACCCAGAGGCCTCACTGCAGCAGGTGGGGCAGCTTGTGTCTCTGCACGCAGGTACTCTGTGCAGAGGAGGAGGGATGGAGACCAGGCAGGAGGGTGCTCGCTGCCAGGGTGGATGAAATGAGCTCAAACCACTTCTGGTCACTCTTCACAGGGGGTGTAGGTGGGGGGCCAAGAGTCTACCTCAAGTATGAAAACTTAAAAAAAGGAAGGAGAAGGCTGAAGATCACTTGACTTGTGTGATTCATTTATTTAAGGTCTTGTAGAAAACATCTTGGTCTCGTTTATCCCAAAATACCAACACCAGATGAAACGGGAGACTCCGCCAGCCGTTCGAACTCATTTTTGGAATGCTCCCGCACGTGCATCCGACTCAGCCGTCCAGGCTCCAGGTTGCCAACAGGGGCGGGCAGCAGCGAAGGTAGGTGGGCCTTCTGGGGAAATTCACAAGCTTCTGGGCTTTCTCTCCTTTTCATGAGCTGCACGTGCTCAGAGAAAGCCACCCACCATGGCTAATGTCATGTTGGTGAAACAAAAAGCAAAAGCGCAGGAGAGGCCACAGCTACCGCTCCCCCAGCACACATTCAAAACCAAACATAGGTGCATGTGGGGAGGGCCCACCGCAGGCTCACCTCGCCACTGGCCCGCTGCCAATGTGGCAGCCCCACCAGAGCAGGCTCTCTGGGCCACCACCCCACAGCACTCGCTTCCCCCGTGTCTCTGCATGTTTGATTTAGGCGTGCACGTCTCCTCTCAGCGCTCCAGCCGCTGCACGCTCCCTAGACTACAGCAGCCTGTGAGTGTGACTTTCGCACACTGGAAATCAGGAGGTTGGTGTGACTCACTTTATGGGGGTGGTCTGCAGCCAGACCCGCGGTGCCTCTGAGGTCTGCCGCGTTTGCGTTATCACAGACCTCTTCTATTTCTCAGGGTGCAGAAAAAGGAGCTTAGACTCTAGCAGGTGAACAGCACATCGGAGGAAGGTAAACATCAATCCTGCTAAAGCGAGGCTCCCCGGTCACCGTGGAACACAGCATCTACTATCAAGGTGTTGTCAACAGGCAGAAATTCCCCTTGCTGCTGTTCTGAAGCTGGACAACCATCCCTTCAGCCAGTGCTTCTCCGGAATGCACGTGCCTGCTTGGAATGCACACCCAGACTCTGGGTCTGCCAGGGCCCCAGGGCTGAAAATGGGGGTGCTGATGCTGCCAGGCCACGGGCCACAATCTGAATAGCAAGACCTTTAGCACCAACTGTGCTAAAACCCAGGAGTGTGGTTCTGATGCTTCCTGTCCACTCGGTGAGACTTTAACAAATGAGACCAAAGAACCAGAGCCCTTCCAAAGATTCCCACTCTTCAGTTTGTGTTCTGACCCCCTACTTCCGCTTCTAGCTGTTCTAATTACATTGCTCCTTCCTTACCCCTTTGGGAACCATGGCAGAAAGGCCAGAGGCAGAAGCCAGGCAAGCTCCCACACTAGCAGCTGCCACGAGCACCCCAAGGAGCATGGGACACTGGAACCTTCTTTCCTAATGGGACCCCGAAATTAATTTAATGTAATGGCCCCTTAAACAAGTGTGACTGACACAGCATGTCAGCAAACAGCTCACCAGAAAGCTCTCAGGGGCTGGGGAAGTAAAACTAGTGCCCAGAGATGGCAGAAGTGGATGGGGAAGCAATGAGAATTCCCCACGTGGTGCCAGGTGTCCCAGGGAGGCTGGTGAGGGACAGATGCCCTGGCCCCAGGTGGCGCCAAGCTCAGGGACACAGTTGACCCCGGCTCACCCTCCAGAGAAGATCTTCTCTACGTAGCTGCGCATGAACTCCCGGAGCTCCAGGGTCTCCTCGTCCTTGGCCGACTCGGTGCTCTGGTTGGAAGAGAAGGACTCGTTGGAGGAGGAGCGGCGGTACTGGTCCCAGGACGGGTGCGAGGGCGACTCGCCCATGTCGTTTTCACTATCCGCTGACTCTGTGGTCTCGCTCTCTGAGCCGTCATAGCCCTGGGAGCCGTCCCTGTCCTGCAGCTTTGCAGGCAGTGCCTCCACAGGCGAGGAGGCAGATGGCTCGGTTCCGAAGTCGATCAGTGACCCCACGGGCACCTCCGGGGCCTCCATGGCTTGGGTGGGCTGTGGTGGAGGGGTCAGTGGGGCGGCCGGCAGGCAGGCAATCCCGTGTGTCAGTGGGAGCTAGAGGCCCATCAAGAGCCCACCAAGCACATGTGACTAGCCACAGCACAGCTGACTGCCAGGAATGAGTCCGCTGGGGCAGCTCGAGGGACGCTAAGGCATCTAGAACGGAAGCACAGGCACATCGTCACTCCAGGAGCTACTCCTTGCAGAAGGGAAATGCAGCCCTGAGCATCTAGACTTAAGTGAACAAATTAGGTCACACATTTCCTGTAAAGAGAATGAGCACCACAGGCCCACAATCTGGCCACCTCTGCACGACATCATTCTCCCACTGTCCACCATACTGTTTATTACCTGGAACTTGGTAAGACCTCACACTGGCTAAATGAACAAATAATACTGGCATTAGGATTTTTCCAAGCTAAGTAGACGGAAGTCAAAGGCACCACATCTGCTGGCCCTCTCCCCATTGCAGCCAACCAGACTGAGGCCATCAGACAATAAATAAAAAGACCCTTCCAGGCTGGAAATGGAAAAATCACCAGAGACACCACCAGCTTGCTGGCTGTCATTGAAATCAGCGGCTATGGAACAGAAGGTCATGGGGGTCAGAAGAGCACCCTCTGTTTAGCATGAGGCCCTCTCAGCCCTGGGCTTGTGTCCCTGGGCTAAGGGACCCCTTTTTTAGCATTTTTCCACTCAAGACCCCCAACCTTCCCAGGCAGTCAAGTCCAGTCCCTTCTGGACATCTCTTGCAAGCCCTCTGATGGTTCCGTGGCACCGATTTGCCGTGGAGGCCCACTGCTCCTCCCTGCTCCTCACCGCTCCACCCTAGACCAGGGTATTCTCCTCTACTCCTTGCCTGGACAGCCCTCTTCCTGCTCCTCGCCTCCTTCCTTGCTCATCCCTGCTTCCCCAATGCTATTCCCCCTCAATGCTACCTTTGAAGGTCACCTCTTCCTGGAAGCTTTGTTCCCCCATGTTCAGAACTGCTTACTGATGCCTCGGCGGCTCCTGCACTTCACTTATGCTCATTTCTCATTCTGCGTCTCTGAGGGAGATGTTAGTGATTTGTTGACACCACTCAAGTACATGCCCCTGGAGAGTGGCCCATGGCTCAGCCTTCTTGTAGCAAGCTGGGATTAGAATCCTGCCTTCCAAACCTGGGGTTACCTGCCAATTCTGGGGCCGGACAGCTGAGCAGGAAGGTAGAGCCCTCTGGAGGCTCCTTGAGAGAGAGCACAGCTTGTGGGTCACATCCCTGTCCTCACCTTCTACAGACCCCAGAGGGCAAGGACAGCAAGTGGAAGACAGGTCTGCTGAGGACGTGGCACCAACTCATCTTCTGAGAGAGACTCAATTTCCAAACTGCAGTGCCTGCCTGTTAAGAGCTTAATGTTTGCAAATCGATGGCGGGTTCCCCCAATTCCCCAGCGCAGGGTATTTTTAAATGCCCTGAGTCAGAGATGAAGGGCTACTTCTCTGTCACCGGAGCAGAAATGGCACATGTCCAGTAACATCCTACAAAGCTTGCCTTGGTCCAAAAAAGAGAAGCATAAACCTCAGATCAAAAGCACTTTCTGGGTCAAGAGAGCAGCAGGGGCTCCTAGGGGCCCAGGGGATACTCAACATGGTTCACAGAGCTCAAGATGGTGGTGTGTCAGCAGGGCTGGGCCAGCCTCGGCTCCCCTCTTGCCGGCTATGAACGTGGACTATGGCCTTTTCTCTGGGGTCTCCCCATCTGAGGCCAGGAGGTCTGATTACATCCCTAAGGTCCTTCAGGCAACCACATTCTCAGACTCCTTGCCTGGGCGGGAGCTCACACTTGTGACAACACACCTGACATTCAACATGGAAAACCAAGCCATACACTACGAAGAGGTTTGCAAATCAATGAGAGGAAAACTGAGCGAATCCTATCTGTGTTATAAATTCACCCAAGTTCAACTAAAAAACATTGATATTCTGATGTACAAACTACTCAAATAAGCAAGACACCCGTCCTCACAACCACACACATGCAAATTAGAACAACTACTACAAAATTAGCAAAAATTTAAAGGGTATGATCCAAATGCTGAGAAGGTTGTGGTAAAACTAATGTTCTCAAACCATCTTGGCAGTGAGGATAAATAAGCCTTTAGAAAACAATTTCTCTTATTTTTCTCTTCTCTGATCCAGCAACCAAGAGCTTGGAATTTATCCTAAGAAAATAATTCAAAGCACTCAAAAACAGTTGCATAGAGAAAAATTCTTATGGCAGCAGTATTTATAATCATGATAAATTAGGGGCAAATCGAAATGCAGGAAAATGGGCAATAGAGTGTAACAATTTAACAATCAGTGTGTGGTGCCATTAGAAAAATGCTGACTTTGTGCTGGAGTCAACAAAATATTTGATGGTCAACAAATATTTGACCATCAACAAGATATTTGATGGTCAGCATTCACCGAGCCTCACGGCTCAGGACCTCTCTTCAGCACTCAGAATACTGGAGTGAGCGCATTTTAATTTTAATAATAATGACCATCATGTATACGTATGGAAAAAGCCTGGCAAAGAGAAAAATGTATTATAATGCCGGCACTGAAGTCATTTCCCCTTTCCATTTTGTTCTTTATCATCACAACCCAGTTTGCAATAAGTGAGAACGCAGAGGGAGAGGAAACAAGCCACTGCCTCTTGACACATTTCACGTGGCCCGAAGGGCTGCAGCTATTTACCACAAGAACCCACAGCACAGGAGGCCCAAGGTCAGACCAATGTCATGGCTATTTTGGGCTCCACTCCAGGCGCTCTCTGTGGCTGGCAAGCTCTCCTTGTGCCATGGAGCTTGGAAAGGGCATGAGTCACCCTTTCCCAGAAGCTTCCTCCGTGGGGCACGCAAAGGAGGGGACACAGTGACAGGGAGATGCACGGCAGGAGGGGCAGTCCCAGGTGCCACCAGGTTCCCTCCGCCCTGGGATATCCCCTCTCCCGGGAGAAGCAGGATCACCGAGACTGTTCCTGGCGCTGAGATGCCCTGTGTCAGGGGAAGGATCCCACCTTCTTCCTCCAGGAGGAAGAGGTAACCACGGACTCCCTGCAGGACAAGGTGACGGTCACTCTGAACACAACAGGATCGCATCCCACGCATGACTCCCTGTGTTCTACCAGCTGGAGAGCACAGGAAATGGCCCTGGGGGCCCCAGTGAGCCCTGGTCAGGGTGGTGCTGTCACGAAGGATTGCAGCCCAGAGGTGTCACATCTAAAGCACCTTGCAAAGATTGCTGGGGTCCACTGCGTGAGACCTCACAGCTCCCCAACACCAGCAACCAGTATAGGTCTGGCTGGCTACAGGAATGAGGGGAGACAGACCCGTGGCTTAGACTTTTGGTCTCTGGGGCTGTCTTGAAATAAGTGACCTTGGTCAATTGTTGTAACTTGTTTTTGTCCAGCTATCAGGTGACATAATCACGAATGCTTTCCAAGAACAGTACGCCTCACTGAAATAGAAAAATCTCTTGACCCACAGCTAAACAAACAATAGCCAAAGAAGGAAGAAAAGACTGAACTACATGGAAGAAGCATGAACCATCCACAGACCCAACCCAGCCCACCTCCCTGGGCATCAGTCTCCATCCTGGCAGAGCCTCAGAATCACAGGGTGTGGGGGCCACTCCCTCACCCCACCTGCCACAAATATCAGCCTCTTCCACCTATATTTGTTCAATGCTTTCAATGTTCCCCAGAGGCACTCCACTTCCCCACTGCAGTCGCAGGTCGGAGAGGAACCCCAGTGAGCCAGGGGCTGCCGTGTGCTGCAGAGTCCACCCTCCAGCATCCAGGTCAGATCATGATCAGTGACCATACAGCACAAAAGCACCCTGCTGTTCCTCTGATGCGCATGCTACAGGACCTCAAGGAGTTTCATCTCTCTGCTAGGGGCTGCACAGCTCAGCCCTAAAGCTCCTGACAAATCAATCCACTCAACACTTCCTGGCTGGGTGACAAGTGAGCTTGCCTTAGAAGCAGGAAGAGATTTTTGGCTGTTTGCGGCTATGAAGCGATGGTGGTTCCAATGAATGAATATATGTCAAATTAAAGACGTGTCATCAATGTCCTTTTCGATGCCTGTATGTTCAGGCAGCTGTTCAGATGTGGATTTATATTCACCAGTGTGGATCCAGGGCAACATGCAGGCCAGTAGAATCAAAGAAATCTATTACTGTAGTTTGTGCAATGAAGTAAGAGCAGAAGCAACAGCCGTGAAAGCAAGACAGGGAAGCAGGCTCGGGCATAACATTTCATTTGCATGTAGTCCTCTGTGGAATATTTTCTAGAAGCTAAATTTAAAAATAAAATAGTCAAAAAGGTCCTCATATAAAAAGATACTGATGATTGTAACGAAATGGTTTTCTTAAAAGGCTCCAGAAGACAAATGTTGACACACCTTTTTAAGATGACTCCAACCCCCTGAAGCCATGCCTGGAATCACTTCAGTCTGCTCTGGCTGGAGCAGACTGAAGGTGAAGGTCAGAGCACTCAGGTGACGCAGGAACAGAGTGTCACAACCTAGAGACACCACAGTCAATTTGCCCCTGATGGTCCCTCTCCCTCAAATGCTGTGCCCCAAAGGGCTTCTGGCAGGCATAGGACCTGCTCACTGCTGAATTCTCTGAAGAGCACAGCAAGTGCCAATGCCCAACCTGATAATCTCAACAGGATCCTTGGGCCGCTGCAGTTCCTGGCAGGGACAGTGTATGCTGAATAGGCTGACGTACTCCCTCAGATCCAGAAGCAGGGGAATCTTCAGGCCTGCAGAGGTTGCTGTCGCTGGGACTGTCAAGATGATGGTGGCCCTGGCCTCTTCCTCCACTATCGGGCAAGGTCCTCGGTCACCCCAGGATGCCTGCCTGCTGGAGGCTGGCTCCCCCAGATGGAGCATGTCTATACTGCCACTGAGGCTGCATTCTGCATCTTTCAGTAAGGACAGAAGATGAGACAGCAGTACTGCAGGCAGACAGTGTCCCGCCTTCGGAGTGTACAGTGTAATGGTGGCTCTTACAACAGATGGGCTCTCTGAGTCCATGAAATACAATGGTCAGGCTGCCTTGTGCAGAGTCCACAGGGACGGTGACTGTCTCCTTGGGGAGAGGGCCCCCATCCAGGCCCTCCT